TACTATTTTATGCCAATTATAGTTACTATTAGGAACTTGATTTGTTATGTACATCGAAGGATAAAAATCTAACAATTGAAGATCTTGAAAAACAATTGTCACAGCTCTAAACAACTTTGAAGCTCCATTTACAAGTAGCTTAAGATTCTTACAAAGCATCTTCAAATGAATTTAGAAAATAATCTCCTACTTTTTAAGTTGGAAATAAAGTATGGCTTCTTTGACAAAATATCAAGACCAATTGGACTTCCAATAAATTAGACTACTAAAGACTGGGGCTATTTTGTATTCAAAAGAAAATTAATCCATGGCTTATTAGTTGAAACTATCTACATCCATGAAGGTACATCTAAGTTTTTTTATATTTTTATCTTAGATGCTTATTCAGAATCAACTATTGTAAGAAGAATATAACTATCACCACCTTGCATTGAAATAAATAATCATATAGAATATGAGGTGAAAAAAGACTTTGATTTTTTGCAAAGAAGAGACAAGTTGGAATATTTTATTCATTATTATAACTACAATATTAATAAACATACATGAGAACCAGCAAAAAAATTATATTAATATGCCACAAAAAATATAGGAGTTTCATTGATGTTGTCATGTTGTGACACAATTATATAGTAAAAATATGACTAAAAATAATTTTTTAATTAATATTCTATTATATTAGTTCAACAAGAATTCAAAATATTTTTATAAGGCTTTATGAAAGTCTCTTAGCCTATTTTCTTGTCTTAATAGCAAATAGATAAAAGTTAGTTAGTATTTTTACCTTCTAGGATATAGAAATTCTTCTATTACCTTAGAAAGGCCATAAATTGATAAAATCAGGATAGAAGAGGTAAATGGTTGGTATGATTGATACTAGGGTCAAGTTGAAGGTAAGATTGGACTAAAAAATCCTTAGGATAGATTAGATTGATACCTGAGAGTTGACCATTTGTGAGACATGGTCGAAATTAGACCTTTAGTTACTAAAACAATTGCTTAGGGCAAATAAGGGTGGCATTTGAAGATCAAAGATTAGAATTTGAGAGCTAGCTTAAAGTTCTTTTTAAAGGCATAAGAATTGCTTTTGTAGGATTTTTTAAAACTTAGCAATTATTGTTCAAAACTAGGGTTTATATTGGTGATTTTGGTTTTATATAATATAATTAGAGTCGGCAATTTTGACTAGTTTGTGCAATTGGTGTAATATATATGGTTCAAAATTTAACACTATCTAGATTATTGGGTATGCTAAGTATAAAAAATAATTTTTAATAATCTAATGATGTGCTTTAGAGATATTTGGTGTTTAGCACAAGAGGGTTTTGGAAGTTGAGAGTTTGAGGTTGGATAGGGTTTCCATGATATCTAGAGATCTATTAGTTGGATCAAGGTAAAATTCTACATAGTATTGCAAGACTAGAAGATCAAGTTGCACACCAATTTTGAATCAAAGTTATTGGTTGGAGAAGGAGAAATCACTACTGGGATTTTTGCTTTACTTTTTAAGTTGGCAATTGAATGGCATCAGTGTAATTTTTGGAGGTTTTCTCACAATCTGTAAGTTGGATTGGATTGAAAATTCTTAAGCATATAGGAGACTTTTATTGACAATTGCATACAAAATTTTACAACAAGTGGATAGTTAGATTAGAAGTTACAGCTTATTAAAGCTCACTGATTAGGATTGGAGCTTATAAGAAAAATCTAAATTGCTTATATATGAAAGTAACAAGATAATTGAGGTTTATGTGTGATTGAAGCTACTAAGAAGAGTATTCTTTAGAACTTTTGAATCGGAATTTGGATTAAATTCTTCTCATATGGGTGAAACTTATTAGGATTTTTTTAGATGTTTGTGAAACACAACTTCACCTTCTATAGCTAGGTGGCTGGTACATTTCCAAGTAAGACAACATGTAATAGGACAACATTATCTTCAAAAACCTAAATTTATTTTATGATGACTTTTCTATTAAGATACTGCTAGGATGTTGTATATAATAAAGAGAGCAAATATTGCTTACAACAATCTTAGAATTTAGTGTATCTAATTTATAATCCAATATGTTGAATTGGAGAGTATTTAAAGAGTCTTTAGATCATGAATCTCAAAGTAGAATTAGAGTTGGAGTATTCCATATCACTACTATCAAATCAACCATTTCAACTCTTGCAACCTTCATAAGATCATCCTTGAGATGAAACTAGAATTTATGGAGGAAAAAAATGATTATATTATAATCAACTCAAATAAAAAAATCTTTAAGATGATGCTCAAGCTTTGGTCATTCTATTGCAAATATGAAAGTAATGCTCCTCAAGGAACTTGGAGTTAAAAAGGGAGGTGGTATTATAGACATTCAATGAGAAGATTTTGGAAATATTTTTAAAATATTCTATTAGATTTTAAAAGATTCTTAAAATATTTAAATAAGAAATTCTAAAAATATTTTTAAAAAGTTCTAAAAAGTTTTTAGAATATTCTAATAGATTTTAGAAAATTCTAGGAGGATTAAAGAAGTTTTTTGAGAAGCTTCTTAAAATTGCTTTGTCTTCAAGCAACATGAAAACTTCTCAAGAAGTTTTTTAATACATAGTATATATTAGAGTCAAGGCTAATAGAATCCTCAATCATAACAACACGTCTCGTGGAGCTTTAGCTCACCTCTTTTGGTGTTGATTTTATACTCATTTGGTTTAATCAAGTTCTTGCTTGATTTCTTGTTGAAACTCTTATGTTTAACTTCTTATTAGGTCTTTTGTATAATGTATCCATGACACTTCCAATAAGACAAAGACAATTCTTTTAGCCACTAGCTCTTGGCTTTCTTCTAATATAGTATATGAAGAGCTAACATTGCATATTACTTTTAAAATATATAAAGATTTTTGTTGTGATTACATATCACATTAATAATTATAAGTTTTTTATTAAATATATATAAATATTTTTTATTTATTAAATAATATTTTAAAAATTATAATTTTTAATATTATATAATAAAGATATATTAAAAAATAATATATATATATATATATTTTAAATTGACATATTTTTTGCATTAAAAATTCTCATTTACATACAAAAGAATATATAAATACATTATAAAACCAAATAAAACTATTAAAGACATGTAGTTTGTAAATATTAATATTAAAGTATTAATAATGTTATTAGTTATTTTAATACTATTAGAAACATATGTTCATATAAAAATATTATTAAATAATTTAATAGATTAAATAGAAATTAAATTATAAGTATTTTATAATTAAAACTAATAAAATAATATAAATAAAAAGATAACTTATTTTTCATGATTTTATTTGTATTCATTTCTTTTATACCTTTCTTTTAAAAGATAATATGGCAAAAAATATAAATATAAATATAAATATAAAAACTATAAAATATTCTTTAAATTTTAAAAGATATTAGTCATAAAAAATAATTAAATTTTAATAACATGGTTTATTTAATCAATTAAATTCTAAAATCAAAATAATTTATCAGTAAAAAGAAAAATTCGTATATAAAAATAAAATAATTTATAAAAAAAACTATATATTTAGAAGAAAATAAACTTCTTGTAAGAAAATAAAATATAATCAATTATTAAAGTACTAATATATTAAATTTTATTATTATATATAAATATTATATATATTTATTTATTTATTTATTTAAAATTCTTAATATATTATATTATTTTTTAAAAATTAAATTTTTTTCATAAGTTGATAATTTTTTTACATTTTAGTAATAGTCTTATAATGCCATCATATTATCCAATAAAATAGATACATCCAAGTTAAGTCTTTAAAGATGGATTAGTTTTTTAGATTGATGTATTAGACAAATTATTTGATTAAATTATAGACTTGTATTATAAAAGATTCATATCCAAATCTTATTTTAGGATTTAAGATAACTTAAATTATTATTTTTTAGATAATAAAATTATTTTATTTATATAAATAATATTTTATTTTAAAAATATCTTTTTTTATAATTCATACTTATACAAGGTTTGAAATACAAGAATATTATTGATGTTAGTGTACACTTAAATGTCTATAATTATAAGACATTCTAAGATATTTAATGGTTAATATAGCAAAAATAGATAAATATTATATTTATAGTGCATTATATATTTGAGTATACTTAAATATCTACCAAATGCCTTACACAATAAATACTTTCATTTATATAATTATCTACATTCACAATATTAACCAATGTAATAGTTACATTATATTATAAATATTATTGTATATCTCTTGTATATTTCTTACTTGTAAAGTGTAATCTACATTTGTTTATCATTAACTTCATAAAAGATAAAATTAAAAACTACTACAATACATGTTAAAACAATAAAATTTGCATCAAAATTTTGTTTTAGAACTAAGATACACATTGAAAATTTGTGAATAATCTTATTTATGTAAAAAAATATTAAATAGAAAATCAAGTATTTCTACCATACAACATGAATAAAACAAAATCATGTCACAAATCAAAGTAACTTGGGTTTCAAAATTGACATAATATGGAAAATGTTCATAAGAAAAAGCTGGTTGGACCAAGGTACACATCCTTCTCTGCGTGCAAAATATCTTTGGTAAACTTTCATTGCTAACCATAGCTACATTCTTCAAGAACACCAAAGTCCCATGAAATCAACTGTGATTAGATTTGCCGACACAAAGTACTTTCTTTTTTCCACACTCTAGCACTCCATTCAGTGGCAGCTTAGATTGGAAACTGGATGTATCAATAGAGCTCACACTCAGCATTTAGATGCTCGCGGTGCACACCAGGGTGGCAATATTCTACGTGAGCGACAAGACGGCAGGATATACTCCCGAAGCCTGGAATTGAAACTGATGCGCATGTGGGTGGTTTCCTCACTGAAATTCTGCCGTATGCATATGAAAAATTGGCTGTGAGTATGTTACACACGACACTCGGTGCAAGTGTAGCCATAATCTTGTTCAAAGAGTTCTGTTTACTTCATCAATAAGAAATCAAAAACATGGAACTGGCGATGGCAAGAGAAGCCGGCACAGTCATATCCAAAATGATGGAGTACCCACTAGTTTCTATACAGGACCTGATCGCTAACAGAGTTATTCTCTACGCTGTTTGGAGTGCAACTAGAAAAGCTGGGCTTATGGCCCAAAAACGCGTGGCGAGTGCCACGCAGCGGATTAACAAACGGCGAGATGCTGTTGGTACACAAAAATTCGAGCTCCAAGGCTGGAGTGCATGCGAGTCTGGAATGCTCCTTGTTGTCGTCGTCTTACTCATGCACCACAACACGATTGAAGAACAGATAATGGCGCCGTTTTTCCTTGATGAGGCTGTACATGTCTGGAAACAACCAGGTGTCGGCGTCGCTTCCCTTGGATTTGCAGGGAGGACGCCATGCCTGGGGGATTGGAGTTCTAGCTGCTGTCGTCCCTATTGTAGCCATCTCGTGACATGGTTTGACTTTGGTGAGAAGAGCTTGAATAGATATTACGAAGGCTTCAAAACTTCTACCAGCCAATCGAGACCCTCGTAGACGCCCTTTCCGGTGCTGGCGCTGCAACCTTGCACATGCCACTCCCGATCCTCTACTAGAGACAGGTCTAGCATGTCTGCCAAATCGGACACACTCAGGCAATTCTGGACGTCCTGCTTGTTGGCGTACACCAGCAGCTTCGCGTCTTTCAGCTCGGTCTCGTGAAGCAGCTTCTGGAGCTCTTTCCTGGCTTCCGGGATTCGGCTGGGGTCGCTGCTGTCAACAACAAAGATCAGTGCCTGGGACTTGACGAAGTAGTGGTGCCAGAGAGAGCGGATCTTTTCTTGGCCGCCCACGTCCCACATGACTAGCGTCTGCTGTCGATACTGAAGCGATTCCAAATTGAAGCCCACGGTAGGCTGGGTACGAGGCTCCAGGAGCTTAACTTTTCGTAGAAGGGATGTTTTCCCTGTATAATTGCGAGAAAATATTTAGGTCAACATCACAAAAGCGCGACAACACGTGATCGAGCAGGCACACACATTACGTTGCTCAATGCGAGGAGATAGTAAGTTCAACGGACCTGCGCCATCGATGCCGAGCATGAGAAGCTTCTGGTGATTCTTGTAGCGTCCGAAACGGTTGAAGAGCCGTGCTAGTATCTACAAAATCAACAGACATAACTAATTAATTCCTTTGAAAATACAAAAATCGCAGCGGTGTGCTTGCACACACCATGTGAGAGAGGAGACACGGTATAGAAGAGGTCCGAGACAACTTCCTACTGATAGTTTGACGTAGGCTAGATGACGAGAAAGCATGTAGGGCCTAGAGAGATCAGGTTGAGCGATTACAAGAGGACGAGAGCACGAAACGTAGCATGGCAAACGACATACTCATCCAACCGCGCCACTCAACTTCGCCCTCGTGCTAACGGTAGACAAAAGCCATGGTAGGCACCACATCGGCGATCAAGACTTGAATGAGAATTTAAAGGAGCAGTTGTTCCACAAAGTCTCGATGACCACTAAACTAGATGATTAAGCACATGTTCCAGACACCTCGACACGAGTCTACCGAGTCGAACAATAAACACCTACAACAACGTAGCAACCATAAATCAATTCATTCCCTCTATCACAACAACCGCAACGCATCCACTAATACATGCTATATCAAAGCGACACCACCAGAGCCAGTTGTGCTCCGACTCCGAATTGCGTGATACTGTCGACCACTCACTTGTTCGTAATACACCCCGAACCCGTTCTTTCTTTTGCCTGGGCTCTTCGACGGAGTCTTCAGACCAGCCATCCTTTCCCGCAACCGTCCCCCCCGCATAAACACCCCCCCTTTTCTTCCACCCTAAAACCACCTGATACCTCAATCAACATGCGCCGACTAGATCACCAACCTAAGACACAATCGCTGTGCACCATGCTCACATCTCACTGAACCGGTCGCACTAAGCGATCACCACCACCAGCAGCTTCCTAACCGAAGCTCTCAACACCCCCCGCCACCAGTGCAATGCCGTTGCCGTCCTAACCGAGCGCTAGAAAAGGCGCAATTGCCTTATCTCCAACCCACAAGTAGACGGATCCAGCTACGGCGAAGACCACAGAGTATCAGGTCCGCGAATTATATTCATGCAGGGAGCGTGATGTGGGATCCACGACTGAGCGAAATTGAATGCGACAGTGAAACGAAACGAGCGAGGGCGAGGGGGCGACGGATCAGGGAGAGTGGGAAAGGTGGGCTGGGAGCTTAAAATTAGCGTGACGGGAGCGTAGCAAGCCAGGGTCGCCATTAAGGCTTCCCGAGTGGGGTCATTAAGATGGGCCAGATGCGAGGTCGAACTGGACTGAAGCTGGAACTGGGGCTTTTCGGTGACGACGATTCACGGCCACCTCTTTATGGCCACTCAGATTTTGCTGTTGCGGCCCGAAACAAACTGTGACATCGCTCCCCCTCCCGCGTAGTTCCTGGATCGATGGTGCTATTTGCTTTTGTTTCCTAGCGCTTGAAATCTAGCCATACACAATCCTGGACTTCAGTTCAGCGGCATTTGTCCAGCGGTACGCGCTGCAACAACAGTCAGTAACAAATAACCACGAAACCCGAATCTAATTTTAAAAAACTGGCTTGGACTCCGCAATGCCGGTCAACAACAAATCCAGCGCAAGGCTGCGCCGTGTACTGACTGGATCCACCCCTCGGCAAGCATCAATCCGAGGCAGGTTTGAGTTTTCACTGCATCGGAGCAAGAGTTGTAACGTCATCGTCTTCAATAACGCTAGATTTTCCGAGATATATCCCAGTCCGTGAACTCTTCCGTTGATAGGTAGTAAGTAAATGAAGCCTCCACTTGTATCAGATCAGCACAGGCTTAATTAACACCCTTGCAGAAAAAATTCAATGCCCTATTAAACGCTAGCCTCAACCCATATCTAAACACGTATAAAACATATCACATATTTGCATATATTTATAATATACATGTATAAAGGAACATTATTGTGTGTTTCTATAACAGACAAAGCAAGTTGCTGAATAGGTCTGTTACCGCATTTACCACAGTCCACCCGAGTGGCTTGACTTTTGCGAAAACGTAAATAAACTCTTCGAAAAGTTTATCCTCCCATCTCATTGGAATCATGGATGGATGAGAAAAGGACAACACGGGATGCAAAGGACGAGGTCCGATGGATGGATGCAATATGGGTGAATGGATGGATGCAATATGGGTGGATGGATGGATGCAATATGGGTGGATGTATGGATGCAATATGGGTGAATGGATGGATGCAATATGGGTGGATGGATGGATGAGTGGATGCTAACGTCTGCCCCTCCCATCCAGCGCGAACACTCACGTCACTACCACTCCTCCCTCACTGACACGTGTCTTAGTCCACGCCTCTGCTTGTGGGCTGCACTTTGCTTTATATTAATAAGGCGATTAATAGCTTTTTTGGAATTTAGGGCACAAATATCAATATTGACATTACCGATGACGGATTACTCTGATTTGTCGGTCATGAATTTGAATTTTGAATTCTCTCGTATATCTTATATTTTTATGCGTCTGTCGTCATCGTTTGTCCAAGTTGACCTTGGTTTCGTTCGAAAATGGATGAGTTTTTCTTCGGCATGTGAGATCATTCATCCTACAAAACTTATAACTGTGTCTTTTAAAATTTTACCCTATTTTAGAACAGGAGCACGTTAATACATTGAATTCTTCCACTATGTACGAGGACATTACATGAATTCGGCTTGAAGAAAAAAATAACCCCAAGTATTGACTAAACTTACTATTCATGTCCAGCGACATAATTAAGAAAAGCTCTTAAACATATTGCTTTTTTCTCGTCTTTCCTCTTTTTTTAATGTGGATGTTAATGTGAGGTTCCCTATTGAATTTTTGCCCTTTGATACCATTGCCAAAAATTGGAGCTCACAAACTTAGGGCCCAAGAATAACTTTGATGATAGTGGGCTATGGCTTCCATCTAATCCTCTACAGGTCCACCCTTCCTTGCTTTTGCCCCTCACATGGGCCTCATTTATGGCCCTGAAGCGTAGAAGAAAATTAGCCTAATTTTAAGGTGGGCCTAGAATTTACCCTCCTGGGCGTAAGTCCAAGGCCAGTTCTGCATATATGGGCATGGCAGTTCCGCGTAGAACCGACCTCCGTCGGTAACCCATCCACCGATATTACTCGTTTATCCATTAGGGGTTCATCCGCTAAAGAAGTGCACGTGGGAGGAAGGTTCAAACTTAGCTTAAAAGTTGGGTGGATCACATTTTTGCCTTGATGAGCATGTTGTTAATGCTATTTCCATGTGTTGTGATGGATTCCTCTAATTAATACTTGTGGGTATTGTTGGATCCACATCAGATATGCCACTTAGTATATGATAAGTGGAGAGCAAGTTGAAAGCCATTGTTGTGGGGGGTATGAATGGAAAACCCAATAAGACTTTCAATCCAAACCCTAACCTTGTGTTTGTTGTGTGCTTGTAGACCACATGGATCAAACAATTTATTGATCTCTATATCAAACTTTGAAGTTTTGATCCCTTTGTGTTTTATGAGAATCATGTATATACATGTACATATATTCATTGCTTCATTAACATTGTTTATGAATACTGCATTTAAAATCTAAAATCTAGTTTTGTTCACATGCTTCTATTGGTACATTGGCCACTACGTGCTTTGTCACAACATGTTTCAAGCATTTTTTTATAATTTTTTTATCTATTTACAAATCTTAAATGAGGTTAAATATACATGATTTCTTTTTTGCGAGTTATCTGCTTTAATAATTGTTTGCTTGTGATTGCTGGTGCTCTTTAGTGTGGAAATTCTACACATGTTTTCAATTGAAAACATGTATTTGTACGGATATGGATTAGATGATGCCCATTTACTCTGTCTTTCTAGTTACAATTGCTAACAGTTGACAATCACCTTTATTTAAGATAAGGTCATTTATATAGATGATTAATGTTTGCACAATTTTGTTTATTTCTTCTGCAAAAACAATAGTCAAAGCTTCTATCAATCTTACATAGTGCATTTAATAAAAACAAGATTGATATTATTTGATTGAAAATTATCCTTGTTGACAAGAAAAATTTTAATCACATTTGACAGTGCACATATTAGCAGCAACTCAGATTAAATTTGTACATGATACAAGCTTCAAGTATGAAATATTATTGCTAGATTTAAGGATCTGTGTACCACCTTGAACATATTTAATAAGTAATTTTTTTAAAATGTTTGAAAATGTGTTTTATTTAATTATTAAATTTAGTATCAGTTTGGGTTATTATTTAAGGAGACAATTGCCCAAAGAAACAATGTTGATTGATAATTGATTTCAAATTCTTATCAATCACTCTCTGATGATGTCTTCAAAACATTTCGAGAACTTTCTACAACTTTTTTTTCAGAAGTTTAATAAATATGTTTTTATAAACTTATTTTTTGGAATGACAAAAACAAATTTTGCTTTCACAAAGCTTCAAACCACGAGTTATTAGGAGCTCAAACAACAAGTTTCCAAAATTGAAATGTAGAATTGTAACTTTGCTTAAGATTTGCTCATTTCTTTAATATTAACCTTTTTTCTACCTTTAATACATTTACAACAATATTTTTCCTTGCAATACTGTGGAAAACATCCATTGTTTTTATTAATAAAATAAAATAAATCGAATTAAAAAATTAATATGTGTTGGAGCATCAAATTGTACTTATAATATAAAATTAAAATTTAAGATATATATATATATATATATATATATATACATACATATGTTTTTTGCAAATGTCACCACAGTTTTTGTTAGTATTACCATAACTTTTGTTACTGCCACCACAACATACCGCCCATTTGACATATTTTTCATTTCTATGTAGTCATTTTTTTTTTTAATATATTTAATCAAATGGTATGAAAGTGATTGAACAAAATAAATAAATAAAATTAATGTTTGAAATGTTTTGAACAAAGATGACAGGCAGTGGATGGAAGATTGCAATGGCAATAGCAAAATTTGTGGTGGCAGCAACAATACCCTATCTCTATATATAAATCAAGGAGAATATTTTGTTAGGTTAAATATTGTTTATTAGTCATCAACATGACACAATCCACAACACCCAACAAACAGAAAGATACACACAAGCATTAAAAAGTTTGGTTTTGTACTACAAACCATGTCAAACAGAATTAAAAATGGGGCAACGGTATAAAAAAAATAAAAATAACTACGTGAATTTGAAAGTTTCATCGAAAGAAAACCTGTGTGTTTTGTGTGTAATCGAACACGAGGACAAAAATGAGGCACCTGAAAAGCTTGTCAAGCTTCAGAAAAAACATGACAGAATGTGTGAATGACAGAAAGAAAGAATAAGACAAGGATTTTAGGGTTTGGTATACCTCCTCCACGCCAGACATGGTTTCAGCTTCGGACACACCCTGTCTCGAACGATCTGCGTGCGATCGGGGCTGTGCAAACGGGCGGTTCATCGCAATACAATTCACGATGTGGGTTTGACGCTGCACCTTCTTGCTTGGTGAACCCAACTTCATCTCGGCCGTCGAAGCATTGGGTGTTTGGGAATTTCTAAGTGTAGCGACAGAGCCGGTGCCCTTGATTATGGTCTCGATCCCGTCGGCAAGGACCACGAGTTTTACAGCCAGTCGCTTAGATCTGGCTTTGAACAGAGGTGCGCTGCACTGCGTCCATTATTAGGGAACTCTGTCTCGGTTACGAGGAGTTTCTTTGGGTGCTTTGGATCGAGGAGGATTTGCAGTCATGGGGGAGCTATACTTGGATAAGCACGTGGCTTACATTAAATCTCTCGACAAGGTGCGCATCGCTTAGCCCTCTAGCGACGAATGTCTTGGATTTCGGGTTCTGAGTGGTGTGTGTGTTTCTGGGTTTTTAGAATCTTTCTTGTTTGAGGAGCAACAATGTTGGATTAGTAGAGATGGAGTGGGAAGCTGGGGTTCTGGGGAAGATTTTGAATCTGAGATTTAGGGTTCTTGTGTGGGAGAATTAGCGTTTCGAAAAGCCAAGTAGGTTGTTGGAATTATTGAATGAGTTGTCTGTCGCGGGCTTCGGTGTTAAGTTCAATTTCAATTAAATTTTTGTTTGTGCAGAAGAAAGATTTCGATGCGGTGGTGATGGAGCACTTACGCATGAGCGGAGCGTACTGGGGCCTTACGGCGCTGGACATCATGGGACGCCTTGGCGACATGAACGTTGATGAGATCGTGTCGTGGATCTTAATGTGCCAGGATGATTGTGGTAGCCACCTCCTCAAACTACAGCTCAAATTATTCATTACGTAGTTTCGGTTAACCGCGTTTGCTCCTTGCAGAGGAATTCATTACGTTCCTGCGAGAAGTTGGGATTGGAATTATTTTTTTTCACTCCTTTAGCTGCGGGAATCCTGGATCAAGGAGGCGGCGATCTGAAGCAGAAGATGCTCTTAGCTTGCAGCTGGATCGTTCAAGTTAAAACAAACATGTAGACTAAGTATTGAATTTTTGATGGAAATTGCTACATTCAGGAGGATTTGGAGGGAATCACGAGCACGACCCGCACATCCTCTATACGCTAAGCGCCGTGCAAATTCTTGCTCTGTTTGACAGGGTTGATGCTGTAGACGCCGATAAAATTGCATCATGTATCCTTGTTCCGTAAAGTTTCGTCTAGCCTGGGTTTCTTTCTGTCAATGAAGTGGTTTTGTGTATGTTGTTTTGTTATAAAATATAAACATGTTACCTGATGAGGACCCTCTCTCGCGTAGTGCCGAATTCCGTCAATTCGAGATATGGTCACTGTGTTCTTTGGAGGTTCAGTCTTTGCGGAGTTTTCAGTATAGAATTGCGTTCAGAACCATATGATACTGGGTTGTTGAGCTGCATCGACTTCCTTAACCACAAGGGACGTAGACATCTCAGGATTACAGAATGAGGATGGATCCTTCTCTGGTGACGAATGGGGGGAGATTGATACTCGGTATGCTCTACCACAAGTCCCAGGTGCTATATGTTTTGCTTCCTCCCTTGTCCATGCTTGGGAGGAGTTGCATACATGGCCTTCGAGCATTCATATCTGCTATTTTCTTCCCCAATACCCTTGAAATAACGTCTCTCTTTTTACTTTAAAGTACAAGCCAGGTTCAGTTCTAATTGCTAAGAGCCGCTGAGTTCATGGTTGGATTGTTGTATGTCTTAGTTCTTACTGGTATAATTATATTCTTGGGACAGATTTTCTTACTGCGCAATCTGCTGCCTTTCTTTGCTGAAACGGCTCGACAAGATTAATTTAGAAAAGGCCTGTAACTTCGTTGCCAGCTGCAAAAACTTCGACGGTGGCTTCGGTTGCGCTCCAGGCGGTGAATCCCACGCAGGCCAAAGTAAGATACTGAACCTAGTATATATATAGAGATAGATAGAGAGGGAGAGAGAGAGAGAGAAACACATACACACACACCTTATTCAATTTTAGGTGATAGAATATCTTTATGAGATGCATATCTGTTCTGATCAGGTGCATTGTTTTGCTGCAGCTTTTTGTTGTGTAGGAGCTCTCGCAATAGGCGGTGCTCTGCATCATGTTGATAAAGATCTATTAGGTTGGTGGCTTGCGGAACGGCAAGTTAAATCGGGGGGTCTCAATGGTCGTCCCGAGAAGCTTCCGGACGTAAGCATTTGGTCTAGTTGAACCCATGATTTTATTGGATTTTTTAAAATAAATTTGCCAGGAATTTTCTTTTTGTTGTAGGGTGAGTTTCGAGTTATGTTAATGTTAGTCATTTGAGTCAACCGGATATGCAATGTACAACCTTAATGCTTGGGTTTTGACTTTGAAGTTCTGTTTCAGGTTTGTTATTCGTGGTGGGTGCTTGCTAGCCTAGTGATTATGGAGCGAGTGCACTGGATTGATAGGAAGAAATTGGAGCAATTTATTCTTGATTGCCAGGTTAGTCTCTTCCTCTCAAACTATGTAACTCATTCATTTCCTTTCTGGCCTTCTTTCTTCCAATAGACTTTGCATCTATATCTTGGCCACAAACACTACTTAAGATTTGGTTGGCTGTGTTGATTATTTTCGTTGACTTTACTATTTCACTCAATGTGATGCTCGTAGGACCCCGAGTGCGGAGGAATATCTGACAGGCCTGACGACGCTGTAGACGTCTTCCACACTTTCTTTGGTGTTGCAGGTGCTCAATCGTCTTCCACCTCCCAAGTCGATTAGAAAGCTGTCATGTGGGTCGATGCTTCAAATATAATATGTATTGAATACCTTCTGATTGTGCACTGTGCTTGAACAGGGCTATCGTTGCTAGGATTTCCAGGACTTGCCGCCATAGATCCTGCGTACGCTCTCCCCGTGAACGTAGTGGACAGAGTTTTCTATGGTCACAAGAAACAACTGGCAGCCTCGTAGTTTCTAATTCAATTTCTTTGTGAGCACAATAGCCAGGCTTGTATGGAAGAAGGTATACAGCGTAGAATCTCCTCGGTAGATTGGGTGCTATATTAAGGCTATGCATCCATGTATATTGATTCAAGTATTCAGGTATTACATACTCTCGGGAAGTTATTATTTTCCCGTATGTTGTATTAGCATTTGACACAAATTAATTCTTCGCAAATGTTAAAGACTAAACTTCGTCTAAATGAAGAGCTTGCTGGGTCCCTTGCCTTCTCGAACTCCCAATTCGATATTTTCCCCGTAGTTGAAGCAGAGCCTCGTATGACTCAAAAAGTCTCCACGAGAGGGGCGTTTGCAGTGAACAGGGGACCAAACCCCCCCCCCCCCCCCCTCTATTTTTGGACCTGGATGATTGGACTTCCTACACAAGTTATAGGATTCCCTGGCGGGGCACTTCCGCACCCGAATGATTGGGCTAGGGACAAGGAATTCCCACGCTGAAAATAACAACCTCGCCCAGATTTAGGTTAGTGAAAATATTCTTCGACTTAATCACCGCATCCACTGCAGAATCTTAAGCTTTGGCGCACACTGCCGATTCCCGTGTGGGATTGACACAGTCTTGCTGCTGATGTAAAGAACCATGATGTGAGGAGCCGCAGCGTGAAGTCGATGAGAAAGCGGGCATCCTAGGTCTTCTCTCCTTTTTCCTGGTTGCTTTTCGAGGAGGGGTCGTGTCATTGACCTTGTCGCGGAATTCGCCATGCGGCGATAGAAGTGGAATGAGCCACTGTGCTGCCACCTGCCCAGTTCCCGAGCTTGTTGCGGATGGAGCTCTGGTGGAGTCCACGCCCTTGCATGTCACTCATGCCTGACCACCTCTGTCAGGAGTGGTGGCATCTGCTGGAAGTCAGGCTGTGCTTTGGCTTGTATTTGATTGACCTCGACGCTCAAGTTGCCTACGATTCTTCCGTTGATGCTCTTGGTGGTAGCTTGTTAGGCGGTAGATTCGACTGCTCTGACGATTATGGTGGTAGGTTTGGCTGCCCCTGTCGATTTTAGCGGGTTAGCGAGATCGGGTATTGATTAGTTGCTGGTGAAGACTCGAAGAAACGGGCCGAATTTCCCAGGTGCTTTTTTTGAATTTTGGTCTTTTGGGGATTGGGGTCATCGTGTGAGCGTGGGAGAATGTTGGAGGAGGAGCTGGGGTGGGACATTGTCGAAGAAGAACAACGGATGCAAGAACTAGTATTCGATTGCGCTGAAGAGGTAGAGTACATTGAATGTTGCGATCAGCGCAAGTTGGGAATAGACCGTTGGTTGTGATGGGTTCGCGTGATGCGAGGATTAACGTTTATCGCTTAATTTTGGGTCATCTCTTGCGGGAAATGTGAGGATCCTGCCACACGCAAGTCTGCAGAAAACTGACGTCCTGCGGACACGGCAGGCTTCCGGTTGGTTTAGGCTTGCGATCTCTCTTCGACAGGTCGTGCGATTGGTAAACCGGAAATCGTTCCTCAAGAATTGGCAGTCGTTTTTGTATTACGTCTGGGGTTCCGGCCATCGTCATTTCCTGGTTGCTGTTCGATATTGATCTTCAGTCCTTTCTTTGATCAGGGAGGGTCCTCGGCGTACCGATTATGTGGCTTACGCTTCGAGCAATCGTCAATGTCGGTATTTGTGCGATGTAATACCGTTCCGGTGCAGACTGCGGGTGTGTTTAGGTTCAAAGTTTCTTTCGTGGTTTAATCTTGAGAGTAGCAGGGTGCATTTTACCAGATCGCTACGGAAGACCAACGATTCTAAAATTGGTAAGGTCAAGAAGTTTTGTTGTTCATGTTGGTAACTCTGCACGTCGTAGGAAACTTGTCATCTGGTCTGTGTGGAAGCGGCTTGTGCTAGCACGTCATGTTTGCGATTTACTAAAAGCGAGCGGACAAAAGTCGAAATGGGTTGACACACATGTGAAAATTCTTAGAATTGTTGATTGCGTGAGGTTGTATGATTTTTAAAATTTTATTCCACTCTGCAGGAGTCTTCGTTCAGTGAGAGTTCTTCATTGTCACAATGCGTTTCAAGGCATTAGAGCTACTGCAGAGTTAGACAACACAATGTCTGACATGTGTTCACTCTTGGAGGATTAGAGTGGATAGCAGCGCTCGCTCTTTCCATAGATATAAGGTTGTGGGACCATGGAGAGGATATGAACCCAAGTGAGGACGACTAAATATTGTTCTAAATGTATTTCCGGCAATTTTGTAGAGGATGACGATTTTTGGTCGACAAAGTTAGCGTCATCTGCTGTTTTATTCTTGTGCTTTTGTTGTAAGTTTACCATTGCAACTACCGCCATGTCAGGGTGCTTTCCGAAGGGTTTATCCTAATCTCGAACTCATTTTTACTGTATGTGCAGACATTAGGCGCACATTCTTAAGAACGACCATTAGGCCTCATGGGTAGCCGGAAAGAAGATGAGAGGAATGAAGCTACCATTCGACGTTTACTCAAGCTTCCAGAGAATAAACGATGTATCAACTGCAACAGCGTGGTTTGTTTCTTTTTACAACTTTTAATTGGGCGGTTTATATTTGAGATATGATTTCGTCGCAGTGTTAGATGTCTATTAGGACTGATGTTTCTGGTTAAATTGTGGCTAGTGATGATAACTGCTCACGATGAGAATGTCCATTAATGCAGCTTAAGTGTTGAATCCAGTCGTCATTTGCGAAGTACAGTGTTTCAATGAGACTTGAGATATTTTTCTACTGTCTGTGTTTGTGAATATTTTCATTGTTCTAATCTCGTTTTAGCCGTCTCAAATGCTGTGAAGTCAAGCTACTAACTTTTATTTGGATCATTTTGCAGGGGCCGCAATATGTTTGCACAACCTTTTGTACCTTCGTCTGCACGCAATGTAGTGGCATTCAGTAAGTATTGAATCACCTTTTGCAGTCAGTTTGCTTTTATGGGTTGAGAGTCATGTTCTAATGGGTTCGCAACGCCTTCATTTGCGCAGTCGAGAATTCTCACATCGCATTAAGTCAATTTCAATGGCAAAGTTTGCCGCAGCTGAAGTTTCTGCTCTGCAAGCGGGTGGCAATGAGGTAAAATGCAGGAAGAACATTATATCCGTAAATGTTTTTAGCACTTATTGATCTGTATGTTCACTTGTTCTAGGATTTAGTTGGGGAGTGAAGAGAGTTTTTGCTAGACCTTTGAATGCTTAAATTAAGTAAGTTCCTTGTGAGGACGTTTGTTGTTCTGAATCGACGCCCGTCTTTTTATTTCTTCTACCTTATCTTGACCATAGTATTTTGGACGAGTCAATCTTTGCTTACAATCTTTCTCGATCATATGTGGAAAATCTTGGCAGCGGGCTAGGCAATTTTTTTTCAAAAGTATGGCACAGAACACTCTTCCTGATAGTGGGTAAGTTCGAGCAACGTTAACCTAAATCTCTGTTTCTTTCTGAGTGAATGGTACACGGACAGGCATCTGCTTTCAGTAATCTCGTTTGACTAATTTATTGGACGTTGTGATTTTAGAAGTCCAGATCAGTTGCGGAAATTCATTGAGCGAGTATACGAGAAGCGTCTTTATGCAGGGGATAGGCCTCCCAGTCCTCAGCAGGTTGGTTTGTTTTACAATTCAGAAATACAGCTGTCTTGTAGATCTACTGTGCCACACCCCAACTCGAATGTAAAACATTCGTTGACAGGAGTATACCGTATTCCAGCCTCTGCCCAGTTAGGAAGAGAAGGGAATTATTAATCTATTATACATAATTGGTGGACTATCTCTTCACAATTTCCTCCGTAACCTCAACTGTGCTAACGTCAATTTCATCGGTATATTATCTATAACTTGACAGGAAGAAACTGCCGTAGACTCGCCCCGGCTTCATTCCAACATGGAAGGTCCACCCAATTTACGAAGACTCTCCGTGGAGGACCACCTGGGTAAACATTCATTTAATAAACGCAATTCAGATTTTGGTAAATTGGGAAGTCCCAGAAGCATCGGTAGTCCCAAAAGTTTGGGCAGTCCTCGTGCCGTTCCACGACCAACTCGTCTCAGCTATGACGATCGTGATGAAAGGCTTGAAATGCAGTCACAAAAAAGCTGCGGTCGAGAGAGTCGAACCTTGTCGCGACCAGTCAGTTTCAGAGACTTTGACTCAACACCTCCGCCTCCTCAGTCAATCACCGACATTCTTGGAGATGTACCGGGACTTCGCGTGGAAGTTTTCAAAAATTCGAATGATGTCGCTACTGATTCGCCTCGTGTATCCCAGGGATCCTCAGTAAGTCTGGAGCACTGACTAAAGATAGTCACACGTCAAATGCTTATTCATTCTTCTCTTTAGAAGGAGCAAAAAGAATCAGCTGGTGGATGTTTTGTAGAAAGAAGAAATGTTGTAGTGTGTTACTAGTAGATTGCATTCATAAAGTTTATGGAATCAGGAAATATAATCGTGCTGTGAGTAGTAACTTCTGGGTGTTTCTTTCCTTCCAGGTTGGTGCACGCAAGGCATGGCAGTCACAGAGTTTTGGAGCTGTAGGAGATGATCGAGTAACCCCAGTCACATTAGCTCATAAGAGAATAAATTCAGCCAGTTTAATCAATATCGGTGAAGGAAATGGAGCCACAGGGATCTCACATGTGGAGGACCCATTTCCAGGAGCCCCTCAGAGTACATCATCGAATAATGACAACTGGGCCACATTCAGTACAACTCCCACCCTTGCAACTCCAGCTGGTTCTCCTTCTCTTAAAAGTGAGGATAGCGCATGGGCTGATCCTGGATGGGTTAAACAGACAAGTACTCTCGATACTTGGTCAAGCTTCGAGTCCTCAAGTGCCTCTCAGGTTAGAACTTCTGCACGATCCTTGGAGTTTAAGCAATTCGTTTTCTTGATTACCTGTTTTTAATTTCTGATTCTGAAGGATCTTTTTTCCAGGACAATTTGTATCCAGAGGTGCTCTCCAGATTGATACCTATATGATTGTGACTGTACGTAATCATATATAATAGAAGTACAAGTCAATTTTGTTGTGTACACTCAGTTGGCGACGTGTCGATTTTGAGTTTAGCTTTGTGCTAACATTTTCCGTTGTTATCACTGGCAGGAGACTCCCAAGCAGGAACGTTTCACTGCAATATCTCGGAGTGTATCCCAGAGCTCATCAGGTTTTGAACCATCTCCAAGGCATCGGCGTCAGGTTCCACAAGTACAACTTTCTTTACACACCTTCAAAATGGCTCACAGCTCATGAGATTCACTTATTTTCTGCAGCTTTAGTCTCAGGTGTCCTTGTTGTTTAGATTCTTTATGTGATGGTCTGAGATGTGGATAGGAGTTGGAGGAGGGTATTGATGCTGTTGTTTTCTACCATTTAGGATTTTTTTGCAACCTCGTTTGAAGCTGTTAATCTTCCCAATTCGGAAACGCATCCGAACCAACAAGTACAGACCATGTTCCACCCCCAAATATCAGATGATACTTTGGAGTCTGATCGGACAACGGTAACGTCTCGACTCAGAACTTTAAATTTTGGTAGTCTCTGTTCAGAAGTCATGGTGCTGGTCCTACCTTTAAGGTAAAATATTTGAGACTAAAACAATCTTGCATTTCTCAGCTGCCGATAAGATTTTATTCAACTTGTTGGGAACTTTTGACAAATTGTCTTTTCTTTTGTGGCAGTATGTGATGTTTGATGTTTGATGTTTTCTGCTTTCTAAGGAACATCTTTCAAGTTTATTTATTTATTTATTTCAGCAGTCATCTAAAATATTTATGGGTTCATCAACATTAATTTTCTTGAACGCTTGAGTCCTTGTAAGAGGCAAAATTCAAAAGTAGTCATTTCGTTCCCTTATATTTGACATCCATTCTCTCTTTGTTACCGTTTAGTGCTTTTGAATGTAATACGTTTTTGTTTAATTTGTCGCTTCTCTCTGTTTAGGGACAACAGGGAGGACTCTCTGGTAGTTCAGAGAATTTCCAGGTGCAATGTTTACAAACCCAAGCCAAATCTCTGGCCCCAGCCCCTGCCTCATCATCGGTTCTAGCGATAAGCGAATACCAAATTCAGCATCAACCTCAAATTCGACTGCAACCTCTAGAGCAACCTCAACAAATGCCAGTGCAGACACCAATTACTTTGCAGAGGTCTCGAAATCCATTTGATGACGATTTTGAGGATGATTCTTCGACAAGTTTGGCTTCCAGTGCCGTGATTGGTAATAGCTTGCAGGTGTGTAACATACTCAGAAACCCGGTGAACTTTTTCTGCTAGCAATCCCACCAAGGGATCAAATATTTCAGAGTTATCTTAAAACTTAACTGTGTTGTGAACTTTCTCGGCTGTTTCAGACATCAAATGTGATGAACTTCACATTTCTTGCCGCGGAATGCTTTCAATGTGTTTTTTGGGATGTAATATGTTTCATTTAATATACACTCTTACTTCGCAATAACTGTTCGCATCTCTTTCTTCCTTGCTGACATTCGAAATTGTTGGAATCCCTGTGAATGTCTTGTAATTTCATGGAAGGTAACTAAGATATTGGTTGCATGTCCGATTTTTTCCACAGTTTCCCAGTATGGATTCTCTACAAGCAGCATTATTGCCAACAATGCAGCCCCAGGCTTCACGTACTCATGTGGCTTCACCAGAGTGGGGACATTCCTTCTCACAGTTTACTGAATTAACTACCCCTTCTGGTAATCAACTCTCCAAAGCTTCCTCTGGTTAACATGCTTTGAGCATGTCAAGGTGGTTGTACAGCCAGTATTTTTTTGTTTCTAGTTTCCTTGTCCTATTTCATTTTGCCTTGGGAATTGGTTTTTCTGCTTGCTGAACACCACAAGTTAGAGAGAGTGACATGTGAGTGGTTCAGAAGATCCACTGCTCTTGTTAAATAAAAAGAGTGCTTATATATCGATCAGAACCCAGAAATTTGGACTTTCTGTATCCTGTCTAACTTGAATGATTACCGTCTCGTGTGATTCTACAAGAAGTGATGTAGATCTTGCGCTCATTAAGTTTTGTTCTGTTCTAACAGAATCTTTCAAGTTTGGCCCAAACGAGACAGCATCCCCTTTCCAGATGCCCTTGTTCACAATGTAAGTTCTACTCAAGGCATCGGTTATTGTGATTGAGCGGTATCTAGGTTCAAAATTCTCCATCTCTGTATTTTCCTGATTGAATGGTTAACTTTTTTAACATTTTTCCATCTCTCATCGCAGGCAGCCAAATGCTTCTGGAGGATACATGCCTACACATTCCATGGTTGCAGAGGCTCCATACCCAGGAAATCAATTTTATACACACAATGTCGTGCTTCCTGCTGGTGGTAATCCTTTTGCGTAGGCTTTTCCAGTGTAAATTTCCTCAATTTTCAAGTCAATCGCAATCTAATCCGGTTTGGACACGATTGGATTACACGAACTTGAAAATTATCGTAGATAGACAAAAAGTGAAGTGTTTTACTTTTCTGGGAAGAGTTGCACCTTTTTCTTTAGTACTGTAAGGTCTTGAAAGTACTAGATTGTTGATTAACATTGATGCAAGGTTACTGTCGAGAAGCAATGAGAAGGTTTATTTTTTCTATTCTTTTTCTGAGTTTGTATAATATCAGGTAGCGCTTGATTTCCCTTGCTAAAAGACCCATGTAATTCAATGTTATAATTTTATGGGGAAGTAATCTAATGTTTTAGTTTTTGGTGACGTTTGCGATATCATATGTGAAAGGTTATGATAGAAGTTCTAGTATAAAATTCCAGCCTGTGGCGTGATACTGGTTGGATGCATCACAAAATATAAATTTTGTAAAAACCATCTCATTCGATTCTTATTTGTTATCATCAATTCCATGACTTATGTTCCATATAACAGAGCTCAAATTTATCTGAAATACTAATTTTAGGACTCACTTTAATTGTAATACAATTATTAGAACACTTATATATATATATATATATATATATCTATATATATATGTATATATATATATATATATCTATATATATATGTATATATATATATATATTTTGTACGAATATGTTCTATTGTAACTTTAAAGAGGAGATAACAAAAATCAACATTTTTTTAATTCCAATCTGTATAAATGCTCTCCGTAGATGTTGGAGTGGTACAAAAAGGCTATTGTTTGTTGTGATTTTTAATTCTAATTTTGATTATTATGTCACTGAGTTTTTAATCATAATTTTCAATATTTGTTGCCAATCCAAGTTTACCTGAAATAAATTAAAAACTTAAATAAATGTTTTTAGTATATTATATTTATTTGAAATTTGAAATATAATTTAATACCAGCTTGTATAAATTAGTGCATTAATAATAGTTTGAGTTATTAATATTTTTACATAATATGGAAAAATGGAATATATAAAATTGCTCAACATCATAAAATATAGTTTATAAAACAATCTAAGAAGAAATATTTAGATGATATATTAATTAATAATTTAAAAATATGCAAATACTAATTAAATCTTGAGAATAGTCATAATCATATTATAGATGAGGATATTCATATTTGGATTAGACCAATTTTTTTGATTGCTATTGAGTATACAATTTGCTCATTTTGTGAAATAGTTTAAAAATATATCTTTTATCTTATAAGTTCAAATTATGGTCTACATGTTTAACAAGAAATTAAATAGTCAAGATTTTGTGTCTTCGAAGCAAACTAACCACAACATTGTAGACTTATTAATGCTCATTAATACATTGTAACATTTATTATTTGTAATGATTATTTGTATACCTTAATGGTAATTATTTGCAATGTTAATTAATGCATTATATTGTTGATTGAGCTATTGAAATGATTTGTGGCTCAAAGTTGTGAAAGATTAGTATAAAGTGGCTACTTCAAGAGTTTTAGGACAAGAAGAATAACATGCAAATGTTAATATGTAAAATAGTTATATTATGACTATCTAACAATTTTGTGCTTAAAAATACAAGACAAATTCTTTAGTGTTTTGATTAGAGTTACTTCTTGTGATTTATGTTCATATATATATATATATATATATATATATATCAATTAATAACGTCATCTATACTTAGAAACAATTAATCTAACAACATTAGACAAGGTCAAAGTGAAAAAGTGCATTAGAGCAAACTTATTTGGAGGTGACATAGACTAGTGAAAATACAATGAATGAAGGTGGTATTAATGCCCCATGAAGAATAAAAATATGATCCACTAATTAATTGAAGATGGATCACTTTAATAACAAAATATATTCACCTGTTTCTAACCAAAAGTAAAAAAAGTCAATTTTAGACAAAGCCTATAATTAAAAGGCACCACTGTAATCTCTTCACCTCGTCAAGAAAGAAAGAAAAGCTTCGCAAATCAATTGAAATTGGACATACGAGGCATTGCTAGCAGCTGTTTTTCTTCTTCACCCCACTAAGCAGAATTCCAACAAAGCGAAGCCTAGATTTGTACAAGATTCAACGTTGCATATGGTGATTACAAAGCAGTCAAGGATTTAAATCAAGCTCTTGTCATGTTTAGGCACCTGAAATGGTTCAGACGTGTGGATGTGAAATCCTGCATGATTAGAGATGATCAAGTCGGCAAACAAACTTCAACCGATCAACTCCAGAGATCAAATAGCCAGCATGATTGAAATCAATGATCACTTGTTAAGTTCGTTTGAACGGGTGCCACTAGAACTTTTCGAGTTGTCAATTGTTTTCTCAACAACATAATATTGTACTCAATAGAAAATTGGACAGGACATTCACTGTCCAGTTTAAACTTGCCGACCTTGTAAAAAACGTTGCTGAATAACAGACATACGTGAAGATTTTGACTACATCCGCCGCATCCCCCGAGCTAGCTGATAGCATAATCTTTCAGAGCTAACAGCATCTATGATAATAATAAAAAAGAAAAAAGAAAAAAACGAAATGATCAATAAACTATGCCCCATTGGAATGGATTGTATCCTTGGAATGGCCCTCCTCCATAATCCCACTGCATCAGCGCTGATCTATGAGTTCAAAAACGATTGACTCTTCACAACTTCCCATGTGAAACAGTGTCTTTTGACTTCAAATTTGTGACCTCTTCAACATATTGAATAACCTCATTATCTATTTTCGCTGGGTGATGATGTTTGTTCGAAGCAGCAGACAGTGCTTTGGCTATCGAAAACAGATGTACCGAAGCCGGAGTTAACACAGCCAATTGGGTACCATCGCGAGAGAAAGCTACTCCATGAACAGCTGCTCATGCAAAATTTCAAGTCGCCCAAAACACCGAGTGAAACAATGCAGAAGGCAAAGGGTGATTTCTGGAGACTGTGAATACTCAAATACAGCGATGCACAATACTGTATGCAAAGGTGAGGTTCTGCATGAACCTTTGTCACCGGTGCTAATCCTTCCAACGACCTGCTAACACCATCATAATCAATTGTCAGTGACTGCTGGCTTCACTGTTTACGAAACTCAAATTCTCTAATCCCTTAGTGTATAATCTGCCCACCAGTGTGCACACCATGTCAACAGAGTTGATGTATCATACGAACTTTGACAGGGAGGTTACGCAGCGGTAGATTAAACATACGTCTCGAGAGTTGGCATCAATCAAACAAGCCTCGTTTGAGCCGCTGCCTCCGGCGGCAATCAAATTCTGCGAGAATCCCGTTCCGTACACGGCACAGTACAAGCGGCAGGGCTGCTGAACGACAGAGAAAAAAGTTACTTTCTCGGCATACTCAAACAGTAGGAATAGAATGTTCTCGGGTGGGAATAGCAAACTGCGAATCTTCTACTTCTGGGACAAGAAAAAAAAAAATGGTTGGCAACCTTGACAATCCACGAATTTGAAGGAAGTTGTGTTCTGGATAATAGAAAGATTCATCGAACAATCATACAAAATTCTTCTCATCAAGAGCATCTGGCTGTGAAAGGGCATTTACCTCAACTCCTACATTTCCTGGTGGCCAGCAGAGGTTTTCAATTAGCTGACCGCTCCCAAAATCCCATTCCTTGTGTATACCAAACCACCCCAACACAAGCATATTTTGTTGGCAAATTTGAAGGCCATGCAAAATAGTTCTTCCTTCCAAAGATGGGTGCCAATTCATTTATCTGAGTATAAGGTTTAGGGTAGGTTACAATGGGCGCCCAATCTGTAAGTGTTTTTCCATGTAACAACCCTTGCAATCTCCGTAGGTTCTCACCAAATTGCGAGAGGGTACGCAAAGGAAACACGTTGCTGGAAGAGAAAAGCAAGCGCTCATTGCTTAATCACTGGCAAAGCTCAAGTTGAAGATGCCAACGTCTAATTCCAGAGCAGTATTGTTAGGAGGCTGTGTGTTTTGTTTCCACCTGAAGTTGGTCTCTGCGTCGCCATGATCCAGTCAAAACATGGTTGTTCCCCTCTTTGATGTCCAGGGCATCTCCATAAATCTCCATTCCATACAAACTGCGAACGGAGGTTCCGGCTCTTGCATCCCACACCTGCTTGCACAGTGCACGACTACAAGTGTTGTAAAGTCGGCTGTCCAACAAAGGAGAGGGTGTAAGAAACACGTAACAAATTCTCAGTAACATGTCAGTTTTGGTAAACTAGCATCGAAATCAAATCAATTTGCCCACCTGAACTGTTTTGTCCCAACCTCCACTCAAAGTGATGTCGATGTCTGACGGATGCCATTTCAAAGCAACTACTCTGTTGCTGTGTCCTGCTGTAGTCACACCATTCCTACAAAATCATCCACATACCACAAACGTGGTTGTCATTTATGTGTAACAATAGGGTATTTGTCTAATAAAGTAACCAATTACTTGTTCATGAGATCATTCATAGATATGATGCTCGACGCCAGAACTATGTAGGCTTTGTACTTTAATGAGACGTATTATTTTTGGAAAATGCAGTAAAAACCACATCCGTTTAAATTCTGTTCAGAGATATCAAAAAGAAGGTAATAGATTCATCAAGATATCTCACTTGTTTACCCTTTTTCGAATGTTTGTATGGGCAGTCTCGTAATTCCATCATAGATTCTCACCTGTAATGAACGCACTTGTGTACATCAGTGTCAGTGGAAAACTTGGACGTTTCATGGATTTTCTGGAGCCTGTATTGTGGTTAGATGATCGCAGCACCTTGCAGTCATAGCCAGATGTTGCAAACTTCTGTCCGGTGGGGTGGTGATCCACCGCAAGAATCTCATTGTCTGGTTCTAGGCTCATTGATAGATGCTTCTCCGATGTGGCATGCCAGTGGTGGATTTGTCCCTTGATATCTTCCAAGTTCAACTATCATTACATATTAGTGGTTTCCTAAACATCTATTCATACCCTTGCGCTTAAATGAGTTCAGGGGGCTTAAAAGAAAGATATGGTGGTGGCATTCAAAGATGTTTGATACCGCCAGGATTCAAATCGCCGGGTCTAAGTGACCCCTGTGACATGTCATGACCGAAGGCTTCAATTTTGCAACTCTAAGATCTGAACACTTACTTCTGAACTCTGAAAATGCGAGAAGCATGATGATTTGGGCATTGTTGAATAATTTTATGCACTAAAATCTTTGTCAATTACTTTGACTGATTTAAACGACTAATAAAAGCAGAGAAGAAATGATGTACCACATGAAACCAACATATTCTGTGCGACTTTTGCAAATTTTGAAGAACGGAAACTCAGGGATGTGATCGACCATTTGCGCATGCCTTTTCTCCCCACATCCAACTTGTAAGAGAATCGTCCACTTTGTGCATTGTAGATCTGTTGTTAAAAACGACTAATTGGTAATTATACTTGGACGATTTCGTCTGGAAAATACATCGCAAAGCATTTGCATATTTCAAATAAATTGGAGGGGTAAAGCACGATGACTGAGGAGGAGACAACAACCTCAACAATTCCTGCAGATGTGCCGATCGCGAGCAAGTCATCGCTGTCTCTAGAGAAACGAGTACAGGTCGCCTCTGCGCTTTTCCTGCAACATAATTAGCCACATTCAGGCCTTGCATGTTCTTCGTATTCACTTTTTGGTGTTTATTTTTCTTTTCTGACTTTTCGGTACACATTCAGGATTTGTACAAAATTAAAATCCACCCATTCTCTCATTAGACAAAGTTCAAAGAATGGAAACGAGACAGGGTTTCAGAATGAAATACAGTAGACAGCACCATTCATGGTTATCTACTCAGAACTTCTCACGGCAGTAATATAACCCGCAGAACTCTCCAGTTCTCTGCTATAAATTCACTCCAGGCCTCATCTACGGTGCGTCAAAGTTCCTTAGCGCTGAACATACATGCCGTAAGCGTATCGACAAATCATATCATTAACTTACTGTACAAGGTACAAACAATCCTGATACTTGCAACGAAGGGCTATGAAACTACATTTCGCGTGATTTGGGTCATTTTTTGATTGCTCCAACTTCCAAAATTTTCCCGCTGTAACACTAGATGAAGTCTTAAAATCTAAGTCGACCTCAAAGAAGCCATAATTTGACCCAGGAGATTGTAATCAAGGACGATCATCACGAATCGACCAGAATCCACACCTTGGCCTCACCAGCGTCTGGTTGAAGGGAGACCCTAACTCATGCTGACCAAGAGCCTGCCACTGCTTACATGGAAATGACAGCATAAGGCTGAAGATTCTCTCCCCGCTCGGCATTGTCACGAACATGCTCCACAAATCCACGCGTTCTTCCAGAAATGGCAGGATTTGCAGCTCGCTTCTCCAACCCCTCCGCCATTTCTTCAAGCTCCTGCTTCATGGCAATGTACTCGTTCTTTTCTTCCTCATCTAGCGCAGCTTCTTCGTTCGCATCCACAACGAGCTTCCTCTCTACGTCTCCTTCGTCCTCAAGTAACTCCGTTTTCAGGTCTTTGAAGCACTCAAAAAAGCTAAACGAATTCATATTCATAATCCTCCATACACGACGCTAAAACAACCTGGAGCTATAGATGCTGTGCAGCACCAGAAGTGGTAGCAAGCCGGACTAAAATCTGACGTGAAGCTCGCCGAGGAGCTTGATGAGAAGGAAGAATCCATGAGAGCCCTGTCTGGAGCCGTCGTAACTGACAGCGGCAGCGGCAGCGGCAGCGGCAGCGGCTGTCGCGGCGGAGAACCGCCATCAGTTCGTCGTTTCCGAGACCCACCTTCTTTCGATTCCACATAGTTAGAGAAAGGGGAGGGGAGGAGGAGGAGGAGGGCGGCGCTACTTGGGTTGTTGCGGCACAAAATTATGGGCGCGATAGCCTCCGATGATTCGGCTGATGTCGACCCATCGGCATTCATGGGCCAAGTATCAATACCCACACTTTACCCTCGTCTTCAACTTCACGCATTGTTTTTCACGTGGATTTTTCAATTCCTCTGTTTCACAGTCATTGGTTTTGTGGTTTGCCCTGTTAGTCGGTTTCGGACATGCACGGTGAGTTCTTTTGGTTTTCGCGGTCCTCGAGGTGAGGTTTCTGCCTGATTTCGGTCTTTCGAATCCTTCACTAGGAATGAATGGTTTGAGGGTCATGCTCCCGCTTCCTCGAGAAGAATCGGTGTCGATGTTACCATCGACAGTTTGAGATGGATTATGGTGTATAGCTCTTGTTTTCGTGTCAGTGGATGTGGAGCTTTTAGGGTTTCTGGAGCCGCGTTCACTGAGAGGTATTATAGCTTGGAATAGCGCCACACACCAAAACTTCTGATGTTGTTGCATGTCATTGAGAGTTTGGTTTTTTGAGTCCAAGAAACTGTTTCCTGAAATCGCCTGTTAATGTCACAAACTCTGTGGGTTTGTAGTTTATGTTTGAGAGATGTTTGAGTAAGAGAAGAAATGAATCTCGTTTTGGATTTTTAATACATACTGGAGTCATGTTTGAGTGTCTTTTTGACTGCAGTATACTGAGTTGTAATATTTTTGGTCATGGGGTGGCTGGCAAAGACGTGTTGATCTTGGACTCTAAGTTTCCTGCTTTGGCGGAACTCTAAGAGTTTTCTGTTCATGTTGAATGCTAGACCGGTGTTTGAGGTGATGATTTATGGTGTATGCACATTCTTATCCATTTGCCTATGAAGGTGGACTGCTTGGCTTTCCTGCTGCTGTTGTTTTAATGGGGCTTCTACCTTCATTCAACAAGTTGTTTATGCTGTAACAGGGAAGTATTGAACAGAGCACAGGTATCAATCCAGGGCTGGTTGTTCTTATTGTGGTATTGGGAGCCTTATTGATCTTTGGTCTAGGAAATTACTTCTTATATCAATATGCCCAGAAGAATCTTCCAGTTAAGAGAAAGAAGCCTGTGTCGAAGAAAAAACTTAAAAAGGAAAAATTGAAAGGAGGAGTACGTCCAGCTGGAGATTAAGTGTAATACGCTTCGAGTACGCTTGCAACTTCCTGATAAGAATATATTTCTTTTCCAATAAAGGTTTGTGATAAAGCTATAGCCATCGATTAGTCTTGGTTATTGCACAGAGACGTAGCCTATTTCGCTGCAGTGTAGTGGGTAGTCGGATCTCTGAGCAGACCATGACTTTACACTGTGAGCGCAAAGTATAGGCTGGTTGTAGGTTGTCAGTGTTCAGTACTATGATGTCCAGAGTGGGTGGATGGAATTCTATGTTACTTTCACCAGAAGGTGCAGTTGTCTGTATGCGCTATTTTGTATCTTCGAGACAGAAGAAATGAGAGGTATTCTGGTATTCCTCCTGCTTTGTATTTTGGTGCAACTTAAAAGGAGGTTTATTGTATGTATATTCCTTCAGGTTTCAAGTAAAGATGTTACAACTTTGTAAGTCTATCATAGTTCCTGTTACAATTGAAACGATTTGTGGGTTACGAATCTACCTTCAAAGTGTAACTTTTCTGTAGAGTTTGTATCGCTGAACACCGTCAGAGCTCAGAAATTTTTTCTGAGAAATCTTAACATAGAGAATTTATTCCAAGGAACAATTGCCAATTGAAGAAATGTCCATCGACCAGACCTTCAAACCGGCTGCCCTCCTTCAGCAAAATTGCCATTGTGACCGCTCTTCCCAGTTTTGTAAATAATTTGTCTCTTTTGTTTACTTCCTGACCCTACTAATCTGCTCAAAACGCCTCAAAATCTATTCATTGTTTACTCAAAGATTGCGTCTGATTTTCGCTTCAGTCCAGATGCCCTCCTTGTGTTGCAGGGTAGACTGTTTCGTTCCAGTTCGACGTTGATCTGGTATTGATTATAATCAAGAACAAGAAAAACATTTTATTATATATATATGTATATATATATATATATATTTTCTACTCATGTATATATAATTCCAATTAAAATTCTACTCAAATTCATATATGAAAATATAGAGGGTGCTTGAACAGTCATAAACTGCTGCAAAAAGCACACGAATTTTGAGAATTGATAATTAATTGAGTGTCACAAAGAGTAATGTGTTCTAATGGACTTCCAAAATTCACCAATCTGCAGTTCCATTTACAAGATCATCCTTGAGAAGCGTAAATAGTATAGAATGACATTAAATCGAAATAATCACCCTTTTTTTTTTCCTTAAAGAAAATTATAATTCTAGATTTTATGTTTTGGTCCATGCACAAACTCCCACAATGTGACCGTGAACAAAGGCATTAAATTCGGTTATTTGCACCATTCTCACATTGATTGAAATAAATAAATAAATAAAAACATACTAAAAAGAATTCTCACACTAATGACGTTGACCAAAAAAGTTACATTCAAATGTTTTTAATGCTTTGGAACCACTCAATTGTTTTTATTCCTAGTTTATTTGTGGTTTACTAAGTAAAGTGGATTTTAATTCTTTCTTCAGAACAATGATTTCTTGAAAAAGAATATCAATAAATGAAATAAAATTATTATTATTATTATTATTATTATTATCATTATTTTTAAATTTCACAACTGGATTCATTATACTGAAAATTCCAACAACCAAAAAATAATCATAATTTCTATGGAAAATATCTGATCTGAAACAAATAACAATATTTAAAACATGCAAAAAACCCATCCTACAACCTAAACTACTGTTGAAGATGTTATTTCAAAAACATATTGTGTTAGACACTCATGAATAGACCAGAAAAAATTTTGTATAAAATATTTAGAAAATAATTTCTCTTTATGGTAAAAAATGATAACTGTGATGTTTTAGAACATCAAAGCATCTCATAGGGCATCAACAAAAGCTCACACGACTTACGACTTTTACAATGGACATCCTTTTGATCTTCAAAAATATTTAAGAATTGTGTTTGTAGCAAATCAATGTTATGACTTCAATTTAGCTTGGTTAAGAAAACTTTATTTTGCTGATAAACCAGCATGGGCAGTGAACCGGTCCAACTTTTCTCTTATTGACCTTGTGTTGAGCAAATGTGGCAAATGTTTGAGGGAAGAAACAAAAAACAAGAACAGTTGACACTTCAACCCACTCACACACACATAACACAACACAATACAACACATTGGAAGTGATTTAGTTGCATCAAAAGACTAGATTCCTCTAACCAACAAAAAAAGAAAAAAAGCACCATACCCAAAAAAAATCACATAGAACTATAGATTAATCTTCAAAAACATAAAATACAAAAATAAAGATGTTTATTCACTCACTCATTCACTCCTTTTTATTTGTAATTATCTCATAGAAAACATCTAATTATACCTATAAAACACCCTATTAATATCTGCCAAACCATATTTTCAAAAAACAAAACTTGGTTCACACTTAAGCTTTACTTCACATCACGGTTACCATAGCTTATTTATTTATTTATTTATTTATTTCCATTAAGATCTCTGTTTCCTCAACCTCTAGAGACAAACATTGATTAACCAATTCAGTGAACTGAGACACCTTAATATTGCAATACAGGACAGCAAGCAGGCAGTTCGCTAAACTCCACCCAGTTCCACAAACAGCACACGACACCACACCTTGTAACACACATTATCCCACATGGTAGAAGCGACATCGTGGGATTCAAGTGGTCAAGTTGGGGTGCAGAAATCCAGGAAAAATCACAAGCTTTTCTTAAGGTACAAGAGAATATAAAAAAACAAACATATAATAAGTAAAGAAAGCGGGGGGAAGAAATAGTGTGTCTGTGATAAGAGTGACATATAGTTTAACGTGGAAGGCCTATGAGACAGATTGAGAGAGAGCCAAAGGAAAGAGTGGATGCGTGTGTATCAAGGGACCAGTGTAGACTTACTGCTGCGGACCAGGCTGCTGACTTCCAATGCTTGGTAACAAGCGGTGCAAAATTGATGGAGTGGGGGAAAGCAAAGGGACCTGCATCTGGGTTTGTGGGTATCAGTCTATCAAGCAACAAACGATAAGCTAGAGGTGAAGCGTAGGGTGCATGGGTTCGAGGAGGAGCTTAACTTGATCGTGGTGAGCTTGGAATGGGGAAGATCGATGCCGAGTTCACGTGATTTGGGAGCTCTGCATGCGGCGCAATCTCGCAGTGGTCGTTGTGCATTTGTTGCAGTGGAAAGGCAGGAGGAAGAGGAGGAAGAGGATGCACAAACTGGCTAGTTGAGTAACTGGTCGCCAAACTGTGTGCACCGGTGCCGCGTTCACTGCAACCTCGTCGGCGGGCATCATGTTCGGCGGTCGTAAATCCTTTGCTACGGTTTTGGATCGCAATCCATTATAATAAGGGTGTTTGTATATATATATATATATATATGATATTTGTTTGTGTATGTGAATCATAAGACCGTGGGTTCAGAAGAGTGAGAATCTTGGGAATATGTGGCGATGGCGTGAGAGGTGGGCCTGCGTCGACGATGGTGGTTTATCTTTTTCCCGTAGCGTGGGATCATGCGATTCCTTAAATGCAGAGCGATGCTGATTCAACGAGGCGAGAGGCGTCATGTCTGCGAGTTTAACACCCCCCCCCCTACTCAAGGTGGGCCCAGACTTGTGCACCAACCATCCAGCCTCCGATCTAGCGGCTCTCCGCATCGTGACGGCTTGTCCCCACTGAGAATCCATCAACTAAAGTTATATTTTTTTCTTTTTCCCCTTCGGACTTGAGATCAGTCTGGCGTCTCTCATCGGACTTAACCGCCTTTCAGTCGATGAACTCCGCTGGCTACAAATGCCCCTGGCGTCCATGCTTGCGCTCTTCCTAGTGTGTTCAATCTCTCTCGCTCTTTCTGTGTCAGTGACGATTTGCAGGTTCTCTGTTTCGAGTTCGAGTTCCGGTTTCGGTAGATTTTAGTGCTGCAGCGGTGGTTCTGTTTGAGTTTTGGGTTGGAATTTGTTTGCAGAGTCTGCAGGGTCAAACCCCATGGAGAATTTGGACGTTCTGGTGAGGGGAGTGGTGATGCAGAATCCTGGGCTGGGCCTAGAGTTGATCAGTTTCCGAAGGGTTGAGTTGCTATGGGTTGCGGTGGTGGCGATGATCGTGTTAGCGTTGCTGTCGGTGAAGAGAGTGAGCATCGTGAGAGTGGGATGGACGTGGGGGTCCAAGCCGGGTCTTGTGCGTGTCCGCGTGCAATCGTTTTCCTCCATGTCGGACATCGGTATGTTCGACGATGAGCTTTTGAACTGCTCCGCGGATTCCTGCAGCGAAGACGCATCGAGCTCCTCCTCCGACGACCAGTCAGGGACTGCTGAAATGGTCTTTATTTTTGGAAAGAAGATGATGCCGCTCAATCTCCCCTCGCCATCACAAGCCTCCATTGTGCGCATTGCCCCTGAGACGGTAATTGGAACGCGACAAACTCCATCACAAGACTTCGAGATGAGCTTAGACTCGCCCTCAGCGCTGTTCCCTATTCCGCAACCCACTGACGCAAAGTTCGCAGAATCGCCGTGGCGCGAGGGAATCGATCCTGACTTCTCGCAAACCTCCCGTGGTGCCGATTCGCCGTTATCCTTATGGGCGCAGTCTCTCACGACGCCATTAGTCGGCGTAGCTCCACCGCCTCCGGCAACCATCGTGAAGAACGTTGATTCTTCTTGCGAATGGGATCCTCTGTGGAAGCTCAGAATTCGCGATGCAGTCGTGCGCGACACCAGAAAATACTCTCCTTCGGGGACTTTCAAAACGTTACCGCGAGCCCCAGTTGCAACGCAAGACGACAGCATCGTCACTCTTAAGGAAGACGTGGTTAGGTTATGGAACAGTGAGGCAAGGTGTCTAGTGAAGAGCGTGCATCTACCGAATTGTAACAGTGGAGACGATTTGGTCACAGCTTTTGATGCCGACTGGGAGTCCAAAGTTGCGGTCGCGGGCAGGAAGGGAGGGAGGCTTCTCCTCACAAAGCTGGAGGGTCCATTTTACGAGAAATGCTACGAAACAAACCTAAATGTGCAAGCGCTTCACCTAGATCGTAGCTCGTCGCTGAAGACTATATACACAGGTCAGTTTTCCGCCGTATCTTGATTTCGATTTCCCGAGCGATTTTGTTACCACATGAGTAGATTCTGATGGATATGCATGTTTTATTCTTTGTCACCGCAGGAGGGCCAACCATAGCCAATCCAGGCTGCTCCGTCTCGCTTTGGGATAGCAGGTCGAGCAGCTGCCAACTTTCGGTCAATTTGAACTCTGCGAGCTCCATCTATGGAATTCGCTCACTAGACCAAGAGCTTTACGTGCGGGACCAAGTTGACTCCCTCGCTGCGCATGACGTGAGGATGCTTGGGGCGGCTAGTGTAACCAGGGTTGCAAGTGACGTGAACTACGAACACACTCAAGAGGACAGATGGTGGGACATCGGCACCACCATCGAGGGCGACCAGGACGACGAGGACGATGAGTTCTCAGACAGTCTCACTGCTAACGATGAGACCAAGGGCGCCAGGGGGTCATCCTACATGGGCAGCCTCGTCAGGGCGATGAGCCGCAACTTCTCCACAAAATCTCCTTCCCCATGAAACTCGAACAGTCGACACACATTAAAATAATAATAATAATAAATAAAAGATCAAAAAAATCAAGAGGGGAAGCTACCCTTCTTCATGCGCTGTCAATTCCTTCGGAGCCATGTGTTTCAAACCTTGTGCATCATCGCACGACACCGGAACTCCGGAAGAGGAAGAAGCCGTGAAGGCGTGTGGCGATGGTACACACATGGACCCGCATCATCAGCAACTTCTCACATCCGCCTGCGCTAGCTTTGCGACACTGCTTCGATCAGCAGTGAACTGGCGGTCGTACGCGACCTGCACGAAGGATGTGGTTGTTGCATAGGCACGCGCAATTCCAGTTCCAGTTTCCATTCTTCGCGACACTATTTGGGAGTAATTTCTAGATTAAACTTGTGGATTTGGCTTTTGCAAGCCCGCGTCCCGGAATTCTCGGAGCTTGGTTACATCAGAGCAAGTAGATCCACTTCGGTGCCATGCAATGATCTCATGTGACGCCTCCTGGATTATCTTATTGTACATGGAAACTATATTGTCACCATCAGACAGACAGACAGACATACTCGAGGTGGTTGTGGTGGAGTTGGCTTGATACTGTTCAGCAGACCACCAGAATCACTTGAGGAAAGACACAAAATGAACTTTGGGTTTCGGAGTGGAAGAAATCTTTGATATTGTTGGAATATGTTTCAGCTCTGTAAATATCGACAACTGGAACTCATCACCATCGCCTAGATTGCACCTCTTAGTGGATCTTAATCTAGACTTGTTGCTTTGTGCGGGAGCAATGAGCCCTTGCTTGCTGCTCTTACGTGAATTTGCGTGTTTGTATTTGTGTGTGTGTATGTGTGTACATCTATTATATAACCAAAGACAGTTCAGATGATTGCAACTGCATCCTTACTTGCTGCTCTTCCAGAGCAAAATAAGGTAGGATGGACATGAGATGTAATTTGTCTTGAATTTTCGTAGAATTCAATTACAAGTAAATGTTAAAAGATTCACATGTACCATTCGTCTACAGAATTGTTTTCCACACGTGGAGTGCAACATGAAGAATTCCAAGATGATTCACTCTAAATTGAGTTGTTTGGTAAATACATTGACATTCAGTCAAAGCAAAGTTTTCATTTGAATAAGAGCAATAATAACAATAATAACAATAATATTCTTATGAAAATGTTGAGTGGAAATAATGTCTTCTTGAGGAGTAGACATAATGAAGTAAACAAATAAACAATTTGAAGTACAAATACAGTTATGTGCATTGTTAAGTCAATGCATGCAGAGTGTGGATATGAAGAGATGTGACTTTATTAGAAATGAAGCATTTGGGAGGACTTGCATTTGCAAGGGTACATGCTTGTATAGCTTAAAAGCTAATGTTATTTTTTGAGATGTTGAAAGAAGTAGAAAAAAAACCAGTAGAAAATAATTAAAAATGTATATTTAATATTACGATACTAAGAGTCACGTTTCATTTTTGCTCTAAGAAATGTGCAAAATAGACAATTTACCTTGCCAAGAGGAACAGAGTTCTCCTATGACCGCGGCGTCCATCCACGGGGTTCGGTGACCGGGACCCCAGAAACCCTAATGGGTCGGAGCGGGACGTGGCAGTGGCGACTCATGGCAGCACCGCCCTCGCAGCGCGAATTCGCTTGCGCCATTCGTGACGCTCCGCAGCGGCGATTTCTATTCCACGACGACTCGCGAGGGTGCCAATCGTGCTCTGTGTAGCCCCGCTGTGCAGTCTCAGTACTGGGTACCTTAGAACTTGAGCTGCTGTTGTTGTGGGTAGTCTTTGTTCTCGAGTCAGATGAAGAAGGGTGTGCACCCCGCGCTGCAGTGGATCCGCATCATCTCTCCCCACGGTCGTTTAGTGCGCGTTTTGGCTGGTAAAGCCTTCAAGCTCGACCGCCCGAGTTACGTTCGTGACCCTGGTAAACAATCCGAGACTGTTGGCACTCTCGCCAAGTTCAAGCGTCGTTTCGAGTTCGCTCCCAAAGCGCCGTCTGCTTCCCCACCTCCTGCCTCCGGATCGCCCTCCTCTGCACCCTCTGGTTCTCCGTCCTCGTAGGTCAGGTTTGTGTGTGTGTGTGTGTTTTATTTTTTTGCGCCCTCTTTCCGCCTTCGGCCTCTCGAAGGGTCTTATGTGTTTTCAGGTTTATTTTGTCGTCGGGGTTTCAATGATGAGGTTCATGGAAAATGTGAACCTCTTGTTTATTTTTAGGTTTTCAGGTTTTTATTATACCTTTGTCTTTTATTTTTCGTTGCTTCGTTTGGGTTGTTGGTTGATCCCGTGAATTTGGCTCTTTTGTGTTGGTTTTTGTTTTTGTATGGTTTCTTAGTTTTTGTACTGGGTTGTGTTTGCTTGCAGTTCTACGCTGCAGACAGCTTTGACAAAGTACAGACATGGAGCTTCAGGGAAATGTAGGGTTGTTGTCCAATGCGCCTCCGAAGCTTGAAGATGCCGGTCTTGAGGATTGTGCATTACCAATTGAGGGGGTTCAGGTATCTCGACCTTCTGATCCCGACCTTATTGCATTTGTCACCCTCTTCGCGTTCTACACCTTTAATTGTGCTAATGTGGCAGTAAAAACTTTCGAATATATATATATATATATATATATATATATATATATATATATATTGACAGCAGTTACAGTTGAACGGTGTTTAGAGGTGGTCTCTGGATTTTATATATTTTTCAATCAACTCGGCCGTAGTGAAGAATAGAGTAGACATTCCTCATGTATATAGGAAACATTTTCTTTCAGAGAATGAATCAAGAATTTAAGGAATTTGTTGCGCGGAAGTGTGAGGAATTAAGAAAGCATGAAGAAGTAAGCGTTAAGCTTGATATTCTCAATGTACAAATTATATTGAAGTTTTAGAAAGAATAGTGATTGTTCCTGTATACCCATTTGGACCAGGACTGAATTTAGTGCAGTTGATTTTTGGGCCGGTTTCTTTGTTCTGGTTTGTTTCAGACGTGCTTGAATTGATTCATTAAACGTGTGACTTGACAACCAGGAGGCTTTTCGGATAGCGGCTGAGAAAGCAAAAGCGGCTGCTGAAAGCCTTAAGATTAACTTGAAGAGTTGGGACGAGGATGTTGGAGGTTGTCTTTCGTATCCTAAGCCCACAACCGGAGATTTGAAGGATGCTGGAATAGGCTTGGCTGGATCAACACCGGTGAGTATTTTTTTATTTGTAGAATTGAAGTCCGTAATCCACGAACTATTTGATGTTGAAATCTCGAGGTTGTCTTACCGTGTCTGTTTTTTGGATTCAGAATTCATACTTGACAGTGATTCCAGAGAATTGTAGTTGAATTTTAGTTTTATTTGGTTATGGGTTTTTTCTTTTTCAAGATGTCCGAGTCTGACGTTGATGCTGCCGTTGATGCTGTGATTTTGTTTATTAACTTATGTATTTGTTTTGTATGTGGCACAAGGATGAAAGCTGTGTTGAAACGAACACTGGAGGTCTATTGGAGGAGGGAACAGATGCTGTAGTCGATCCTGTAGGGGAGCCTAAGGAAGACAAGTTAGTGAGTGGCATAGATGTCCAGCCGAAACTTGGAGAGGATGGGTGTGTGGGTCCTGTAATTGGAGCCGAACCATCTGCAACCACGGATTCGGCCGATGACGGCGGCGATGAGGAGCCTAAAGGTCCCTCACTTACTGAAGCTTATCTTTAAGATGATAAGGCAGCACGTTCTCTCTGCAATCTGAAGTTTTTAAAAAATAACACCATAACTTGCCTGGGTCTCCTTCCCATCATTAACGATTTCAGTTTTTGACCCTCTGTTGCTTGATTCTTTCTATGACGCACTGCTATGAAATGCTCCTGGCTGAAAGCTGGTTTGCGTGTCTCATTCTTGCTGCTGTTAAATCCGAATTTACATGGACTGGTGGGAAGATATCCAGTTTCTTTATTTTGTTGTGAAGTGGGTATTGTGTTCCGAAACTGTCTTCATTAATTCAGGGAACTGCGAATGGCTTGCATTTTCTATATTGCTTAGACTAGACCAATGGGCGACTAGATCCTTGGGCACAGCTCGTGCCTTGAGCGTTGTGAGGAGCAGCTAAATGCAACTTTTTCTAAGTATGGATTTTATTAATATTTTTATAGCACATAGCTTGGAATATCAATTGTTTGAAAATAAATTTGTCACCACGATAAATGAAATGGGATCAACCAAACTCTCTGTTTAGCAATATCAATGTCTTATTGACATGGTCGACCTTTGGCGTGTATTGACCATAACGACAAGCAATATGTTGATCTTCATGGGATATTCCACTACAGTTCATTTTGAGATTGAGAAGACATTTATGTTCACAATCAATTGGGACATTGTAGACATGTTCAATGCGAATGACCAGGGATATGTGCCTACTTGTCAATTGTTTGAAGATGCAAACAATGACAAGTTGAGCTTGGTAGAGAGCAAGGTCTGAATTGTGAAGTGTACAAGGTGGAGATCAATTCTTTGTGGCTGTTCTGTCTCATGATTGGCTTTGTCTCCTGTAATGCCTCGCTTTGAATGGCAGCACGTGGATGGCACGAAGATTGTGTCACATGAGTTGCTTCAATGGGTGTAATGATGACCATGTGGCTTTGTTGTGAGTTTATGTTGTGAGTTTATAAAAAATTATTGAGCTCTTTCACATGCATTGGGTGTCTTCTCTTGTTTTTGATGTCAACTTAAAGCAAGGCATTTTTGAGTCAGATTTGAGCATCAATTGAAGGTTTAAAATCTCCACCTTTCTGTGGTTTTGCTTTTTAATCACGAGACAACCAAAATAAACTTTGCTACGTGTCCAAAACTTTTAGATGACCTTACTCCAAAATAGAGGGCACAATTAGTTGGAATTAGCATGGATGGTGAGCAAACAATGATTAGATGGATTTTTGGCATTGCAAGGAGGATGGTTGAGATGATTGGTGATAGAATGGTGTGGGTGTAGTGTGCTTTGCACCAACTTAATCTTATGGTCGAAGTAAAGTATGTGAAGTTGTATAATGACCAATTCGTCAACATCTTGACAAGCCTCATCTCTTACTTTTGCCGGCAATACAATCTCATTTGGAAGATAGATTGTACATGTTCAAAATTCATAGACTTGTAGTAGTTGTCTTTAAAAAAATTAAGTGGATTTTTTATGACAAGGGTGAGGGGTGATTTATGAGTACCTTTTGTAGAAGCTGCCTATATGTATTCCTTCACCTTTTTGGTAGGTAGTACTGCTTGCACTCAACAATGTTGAGGAAGCAATTTCTATTATAGTGATATGCTTATCAAGACTAAGCACCCTTTTGAATCAATAGAAAGTTCAACTCGAAGGCTTGATTCAATCTTTGGTAGGTTTGTGCAAAATGCAAGGATTGCATAATGCAAAGACTTTAGCCATGGCTTATGATGCCCCAAATCTGATTACTTGCAAATCTTAGTGTGTGGCTTTCACAAATGCAAAGGCTTTCATTCAAGATTAAGGTATCTTTGTAATGAGCCTTATGACTTTGCTACCTACAATCAAGGTTGAGGCCATGGTTTGTAATGTGACACTCTTGTTTACTAAGCTCGTCAACAACATTATGTCCATTATTGTCTAATACAATTGCAAAAATGGTGTTAGCGACAAGGACATTTTGAAAGTATTGCTTCATGGTTTATATGCACTACAAATGTCTCTGCTATGTATTTCCATCCATCCACACAAACCACGGTTAGAATTGGTTGAGTGGGACATTCAATCCATTAAGGATATTAAAAATGACCACCAAGCCATGGTGTGTGATTACTGCAAGGAAATGACCTTCAAAGATGCCTTTGACAAGTTCTTTGATTTGCGAACAAAATTTCATGTTCGATGGGATCATTGCAATGGTTGGTCTCTACAACTTCAAATTTTTTGTAGCAGATTGGTATTCATTTTTTTCAACATAAGTATTATCAAATCCAACTTTTTCATGATCGGATGGAAGAAGGATGAGTATCTGCAGTGCATCAAAGACTTCTTGCTTAAGAATATCTTGCATTCTAAACAATTTGATAGAATTTGTCAAATTTGATGAGGATGGATGTTTTTGGATATTTCTATAGATGAATTTCATTGTTTCTTAATTTATCTAAAATAAAACCTAGATGTAATCCTAAAATAAACTAAATTAGATATTTTAGAGAAAGTCCTAATTTAAAGAATTTTGATTATCATATTTAATAATTATCTTATTTTAGTTTTTTTTTAATTTTTTTTAATTTTTTTAATTTAATTTAATTTTTTATTTTGTCTTGTTTATGTTGTCATTGATGTTGTTTGTTTCGTTTTGTTTTGTTGTATTTTGTTTTGTTGTATTTTTTTTATTTTTTTTTATTTTTTGTTATTTGTCCAATGTCATAGGATTAAGTCATTTTTTTCACGTTTGGCAACAATACCTATATATTAGTCTTGTTTATTAAAAAACTTTTTGTCAAGTATTATTATAATATTTCCCTTTATTTTGTGTTGTCTTAGATACAACTTGTATAGCTTCAATTGCAAGAAAAATATTTTGCCATTTAAAACACAATAAGATAAGATACCATAATAAAATCCTTATATTAATTTCTATAATAATTTATTTTCTTGTCTTGTTTTTCCATGTTATAATATCAAATAAAATAAATTACAAATCTTGAAAGAACTACTTTATAAACCAATTATTGCTTGTACTACCAATCTATAATAATGACAACAAATAATTAAACACAAGTCATTTCCATGCTCTATTTAAATTAGTCAACTTGTAGTTTTTTTTAATTTCTTACAATTAACACATGATTACTAAGATAATTCATAAAAATCTTTGATTAAACAAGTTTAACTTGTATAAATTAGAATTAATATTTTTATAATTTTTTTATTTTATTTTAGTGGTATTCAAGCAACCTAAGTTGTTCAAGTAGCCTTTTGTACCTAAGATATTATTTGATATATATATATTTTTTTATTAATACTTAAGTTATTTAACTTGAATATTTAATGAATAAATAAATAAATAAATCTTCTATCAACTATGGTCATAGAATTCGACATATATATATATATATATATATATATATATATATATTTTTTTTTTGCAAGATTTTTGTATGGCAAAAGCTTTTATTTGAGTTTTTAAGAATACAACACAAAATATCTATTTGGCTTTGTTTGTAACTTTAATAGACACTCCAATTTATTTGATAGAAATTAAAGAAGCTATGCAAGATTGTATTTATAATTAGGATGGTAATAGATATGATAATCATGCTTGATTTGTCTTTGGATATATAATATCAAAATCTAATAGTCTTGCTAATATAAATTCTTCTTTATTCCTTTAAAATTGTCAAAAAATCAAAGAAATCGCTATATTTGAATAGAAAGATAAAACTTGTGTTAACAATAGATATTTTAATTTTTAAAAATATTATTAAATAAAATAAAGTTAAAAATGATTTTCTATAAAAACAATCTCATTGACACAAAGAGGTACATAACTTATTAAAATGTACATCCCACTGCGTCTTTTAAAACAAACTTTCTTACAAAAAAAAAAAAAAAAATTAGCAAGAACAATTAGACACATTTGATATTTTGGAAATAGGAAAAAAAAAAATAATAAAAAAAATATCAAGAATACATAATTCTTCAATTATGAAATGTATAACATTACTTATTGTTACCTTTTTACCTAATAATTTTTAGATAAAATTATTGCAGCATTGTATCTAGTCAAACTTTTAACTTCTGATAAAATTTTAAGACTACTAAAACAAACGCACATATCACTCACTACAGTAGATACTAATTCTCTCAAAATTAAACTAATTTCTGTACAAGTTCCAAATCCCATTGTTCATGAAGAAAACATGAAAACAAAACAAAATGGGAATAATTTTATGTTAGTGCTCATATACAACCATCCAGAATGTCATAAACTATGCCAAAAACATAGAAAAAACCCACTTATATTTTTCTTCTACATTCTCATTCTTGCCTTTGCTAACAAGCTGTGTCAATTCAAATACCTTTCTCATTACTCAACTCCAATTTGTTACCACAATGCGACTCTGTGGCACTCTGATGATAAATTCCCTGGTTGTGATGCCAGTTTCATTACTAGTTTCAAGAGTAGAACTGTTGCCTCACCTTTTGCAAATCCCAATTCTCACATTCCATGGAACTGAGCATCACAGAACTCGGTGCATTTGTTTTGGAATGTTGTTGTGGAAAACGGTTTCTGTGTTATGCCAAAAGTTCCGGCAACCTTCAGTCTTTACAGCGTAGTGGTATGTGTTGCAGTGATTTTTCACGTAGCAATGCAGCATTCGAAGAGTTTGCATGTGTGTGTGAGAGAGAGAGAGGAACCCATGTAGTTAGTGGAGAGCAAATCCAAATGCTGGTGGCTCTGGTGTCATTGTAGCTATATTTGTTTATGTTTTTTGTTTTTTTGTTTTTTTTTTTGTTTTTGTCTTTCTCTCTTCTCTTGATTTTTTGTTTCCCTCGCAGTTGTAATGTCTTGTTTTCCAGCAATGGTTAACAAGCTTGTTTCAGTTTGTGTGGATATGTGCACCTTCTAACTTGTGGCTACAGAGAGAATTGAGGCATAGTGGAACAGGACATTTTAGGACGGTCATGCGAGGCTATGACCTGCTACCCAAAGTTTTCAATAAGAAAATTAGGGCTTCAAAATGTTCCTGGTGCACCCACTGTGCCTCTTGACCGGATCCTTCGTTTTGTGAAATATCATGGTTTATTTGAGGATTGTATTCCTTTTTGGACTTTAGAGTGGAGTTATTCGAAGAGTTATGTGACTTTAGAGTTATGGGACGACCCCATCTATGTAATAGCAGTATGGGTATAATGCTGCGGTTTGAGTTTCATTACAAGTTATGAGTCGACTTCGTTGTAATCTTTCCTTATGATTTAAATACGAGATATCCTTGCAGGGCGTGCGGAGAATGTTGTTGGAGAGTTCTGGGAGACCCAAACTAATGCGACAGGGGACTCGCTGGATGTCAAAAACAGTGGTATGGGTTTCTTTGTGATGTGCAACCTGCAACTTGGGATTATTGGAGTGATACTCCATATCCATCAGAAAATATGCTCGCCATTCGGCGAAGTGCGTATTCAGTCAATCATGTGCCATCTCCCTTCGTACGCCTGATTTCTCGGTTGCGTCACAGGACATGAAGGAGAGATTGGCTGAATTAATCCCGAAAGAACAGGTAACATCCGGTTTTAAAAGTGGATCAGGCACCACGTGCATGCAAATGAAACGTATAGTTTGTGTCCTGGTTGCGTTCTTTTGTTTTTCGGACTGAAGAATTGTGGCACAATCATCATCGGAGGTATGAGGTCGATCTTGTTACATACCTGCTGTGACGAGTCATTGGAATTTAGATGATATTCAAATGAAAAGTTTCTCGTTTTGTTTCCACAGGACCGTTTGAAGAAGATTAAGAAAGATTATGGCAAGATATCTCTCGGAGACACCACTGTCGACATGGTGACGTTTTTTTCCTGATGATACCATTCTTTTTGGACTTGCTCTCGGTGAGAAAGCGAATAAAGTACTCATTTGCTGATGTGTTCCAGAGGTATTACACACAAATTCTCAATGATTGTTGGAGTCCCTAATTGCAAAACAACAATGTGCTGGGATGTAGTGCATTGGCGGCATGCGTGGCATCAAAGGCATGCTATGGGAGACATCCTTGCTCGACGCTGATGAGGTTTTTAGTTCTTAATATATTTTCAGTTTTTTCCTTGCTGTTTAAGAGACTCAAGATTCTCAAGAGAAAGACGGGAAACGTCAGTTATTGTTGCTTTTTGTTTTCTTTCACGGCTTTGCAGGGTATTCGGTTCAGGGGACTCTCCATTCCTGAATGCCAGAAGAAGTTGCCGGCAGCAATTAGTGGAGGCGAGCCTTTGCCCGAAGGCTTATTGTGGCTTTTAGTTACTGGCGAGGTCAGATTTCTCGGCTTGGTGTCACTAAGGCCATTGAGGTTGAAATTACTAAATTATAAATATACCTCTACATTTTAATTTGCGAGTTCAGCTTATATAGCGAACTGATAATGGTTCGGGTAAAGCGAAGGTACCTACAAAGGAACAAGTTGCTGGGTTGACCAAGGATTTTCGGAAGCGGTCTAAGGTTCCAGGTATGCTAATGCTTGTAAGCTTCTTCACGTAGTTGAAATTTGTGATCCACTGGTTGCTTACTTATGTGTCGTTTAGGAATGTCCTCTGCAAATTGTTTGCTGCTATATGAACCCAACTATTTATAAAGTCTGGGATTCATTACTTAATAGTCTTAATCCCTTCTTGATGGAATCAGAGCAAATCATGAGATATTTCTAATTTTCGCCACAGTTCTGTTTATCGACCATAACTTGACGTATGGATAGCACGTGATTTTTTATTTTTGTATTTTTTTTTACAGGATTTGTGTTTGACGTTTTGAATAAATTTCCTACCACTGCACATCCCATGTCCCAGCTTTCTGCTGGTATTATGGCTCTCCAGGTCCTTATTTTTATATCCTAGCCCTATTTCTTTGTTTCCACGAATATTGTGAGTAATAATCCTTCTGTATGATTTGCATATCTGCACAACTTATAAAGAAACATTAAATGAGAGACCCAGAGCCAATTTAATGTTTCTTTATAAGAAGCATTAAATGAGCCAATTCTTGCGGAATGCAGACCCAGAGCCAATTTGCGAAGGCTTATGAAGAAGGGATTCATAAAAGCAAGTAAGTACGTCATTTTGAACTACTTTATGAACTTGCATTGTACAGGTGAAATTCACACTGGCAGATGATTTCATCGCGTGGAGTAAAAAAGAACTAGAATTTAACTGGACTTGAAGCATATCACTTTTTCATCATTTCAATCTTGATCTCAATTTTTATAGATACTGGCAGCCAGTATACGAAGATTCCATGAATTTGATGGCTCAGTTACCAGAGGTTGCGGCTTTCATATACCGTAGGTAGGTTTCTGCGATTTTTATCTAATAACAATTGATGGAAAAAACATTTAAAAGGGAATCAAATTTTTCTGTAGCATTAAGAAGCCATGTTTTTCTTTACAGAGTTTACAAAGGAGGAAAGACCATACCTCCAGATCCAAAGTTGGACTATGCTGCCAATTATGCGCACATGCTGGGTTTTACAGACAAGAAATTTCATGAGCTTATGCGACTTTACATAACCATTCACAGGTATATTTGATAAACCAAGTTGACGTGGATAATTTTGATTACGATTAAATACATTCCACATTCTTTCTGCAGCTTTAGTTGCTATTTAATACTTGGTTTTCAAAAATATCTCATTATTAAATGATCTGCTGAACGTTTTTTTTTTTTAATATCATTTTTACTACTACTTTTTAAATGAATCTCACTGACAGATGTATGTTCAAACAGTGATCATGAGGGTGGCAATGTAAGTGCTCATACTGTGCATCTGGTAAGCAGTGAATTGGATCCTCCTTTCATTCTCTGTCCTCTAAATGCGCAATATGCTAAATCGAAGTTGCTCCGTCATTTTACTTGAGCTTTACAATCTACGGAATTGATGTGAAAGTAGTTGACCTTGGTAACCGCTCTGATCTCTTAACACAACTTCGATGTTGAATTATACCAAGTGACCGTTTTATTCCCTTTTGATTCAGGTGGGAAGTGCACTTTCTGACCCCTACCTATCGGTTGCAGCTGGAATGAACGGGCTAGCTGGTCCGCTCCATGGACTTGCAAATCAGGTGATAACCGACAGGGCTAACTATTAACCGGTTAGTATACCTATATTTTGCAGTTATTGCTTCCAATACTGCCACTAGTTCTTATGAGTGATTCCTGCCTAAATTTGTGTTTGGTCTTATTTTGCCATGCTCAGCTTCGGCCTCAGCTGATGAAGGTTATGATTGTTAGTGCCCAGGAGGTACTGAGATGGATACAAGATGTTGTGAAAGAGGTCGGAGCTGATGTTACCACAGAGCAACTAAAGGAGTTTGTATGGAAGACCTTGAAGAGCGGTAAGGTGAGTAATAGCAAATTACTAGGAGAATTGTTACCGTTGAATGTGAGCGTGAGATTGCTTCATTTATTGCTTGGTATATCTGGTTTGTGTGAGAAAATTATCTAACTCGAATTTCCGCTTGTAATTAAATTTGCACCAACATGACAGCAGGTTGTTAATTTTGTTTGGGCGATTTGCAAATTTTTCCTGAAAATTTAGTGAGTTCTGCATTCGTTGATTATGGGGACAGGTGGTGCCTGGTTACGGGCATGCAGTGCTGCGGAAAACGGATCCCCGATACCAGTGTCAGCGTGAATTTGCGCTTAAGCATCTACCAGATGATCCATTGTTCAAAATGGTGGCTTACCTAACTCGAGACGTAGACATTGTTTCTGAGGCACTGATTCACGAGTTAATAATTTTTGGATCGAAATCTTGAATGATTTGGTGAAGAGGTTTCCCAACAAGCTTCCAGGGTACTTAGTGTGGATGATTGTGCACGTAGGTATCAAAGATATACGAAGTTGTACCACCAATACTCTTGGAAACTGGAAAGGTACGGTTTTTTTATGTCTGTCCACCACAATAGGCCTAGATATTCAATTTGAATTTAACTTGGGAGTAAAAAGCACCCAGCTACTCGGAATAATGGTTGTAGTCACTTCATGCAAGATTGTAACGCTCGTGACTAGTCTTCCAGTGCATAATTTTTTGACAGGTAAAAAACCCATGGCCGAATGTAGATGCTCATAGTGGAGTATTGCTTCAACACTATGGTCTGAAAGAACAGAAGTGAGCAGTCCTTCCCTTGTAAACTATTCAATTATTCCACTCAGGTTTAGGGAATCTGTTGCCTGCACCAAGTGGGTGGACTTATGTTGATTTGATGAATGTGCAGCTACTATACTGTACTGTTTGGAATATCTCGAACTATGGGTGTCCTTTCACAAGTAAGTTTCAGAATCACTTAAAACCTGCTTGCAACTACTCAAAAGATACTGTTATTTCGGTATTAGACTATGATTGGACTCCTGTCTGTATTTGCTTCTAGATTTAACTGACATGCGTATCTGTTGTCACAAAAGTATATCTGCTGTGGGTGAAATGCTGCAGCTCATTTGGGATCGAGCATTAGGTTTGCCACTTGAGAGGCCCAAGAGTTTAACCTTTGGCTGGATTGAGAATTATTGCAAGGGAAAAGGTCAAATGAAGAAAAAGTAGTAAGAGTAGCAATTAAGAAAAAATCATGAGCCTTCACAAGTATAAATGAGGCATTGACATTGGTCCAACACCTCACCAAAAATTTACCACTTCAAAGCTCAATTCATTCCTCCAAAAGCCAATCTTCAAATGCTTATTGCATTCCTGATTTTTGAAGTGAAGACTTATTGCAGTTTCATGGCATTGATGTTCTTGGGATTTATTCACCAACGTTTTTTTGAAGTAATGAGAAATATGAAAAAGAAGAAGAAAAGGGGGACAAAAATGATTTGTTTTGTGAAAAAAAATGAAGGATCCATAAAGATATGAGCTGTTTAAAGTATGATTGTTAGTTGATTGCAATCGAATGAGTTTGATTTGATGTTTTTGAAGTAAATACAAATATTTCGTAGATATTTGTATTTTGTAGATATATGTTTTTGAAGTTGTTTTTTTAAAAAAATGAAAAAAGTGGAAAAATAAATAAATTATGAAGATACCATATATTCTATATAAAATAATAATAATAAGTCCTAAATAACCTTGCAAGTGTATATACATGTATATATGTATATAAGAATACATATAGTTTTTTTAAAGTAAAAATTAATAATTAGAATTTTAAAATTATAATAAATGAAAAATTATTTTGCTAAATCAAAAAAAAAGTTATGGTGTTTTAAGGAGGTTACATAAAAGTAATTTTTATTTTGATTAATTAATATTAAAAAAAACCAAATTATGTATAATTGGCTTTATATGTATTTTTGTGGTTAAATTAATCCCTAATTGTAACCAAATGCCTCATTTAAATTTTTATGGTGATGAATTCTTGTAAGAGTACTTTTTAATACATTTTTGTGGCAAAGATTTTTTACTTATTATAATTACATCTAATTCATTTATTTATCTAGTAATAATTCATAACAATTTTGTAAAAAAAAATAACTTCAATAATAGATAGGATTATTGTATAAAAGTATGAATATTTTTACAGCTTTTTTAGTACGTATTGAATAATTTCTTAAAGTGTAGTATTTCTTCATTTCTTAAAGTATAGTATTTTTTTAATCTCAAAATTTTATTTAAAATTTGGCATGCTAAAATTCAAAAAATTCTGTTAATTTTTAATAAAAATATTAATACTTAAATTTGTTAGTCTTTGATAAATTAAAAATATTAAGGAATTGAAAGAGAAAAAATATGAAATTTATTGAAATTTTGATTTTATTCAAATTCTAAATTAAGATAAAAACTATTCAAGCTATTTCATTTTTTTTATTTTTTTATTTTTTTTATGAATATTTATTGGACAATCAAATGTAAAATCACATACATATAAAGAATAATATATACACAATAGAAATATTTTATTAAAATATGAATTAACTCAAATCCACAATTATAATTCTATAAAGCTAAATATTAGATTAATTAAACTTCTTAAATTTTTTTTATATGATATCCTAATTGCCCACCAAAAATGTTATACATTGAATTGTAGAGGCAACATCCTCTCATCCTTTGCTCTTCTTTGAAACTCCTACCAAGATGGTTGTAATTGTCAAACAATCTTATTGTAATCTATCTATATCAAATAGATAAAAACTACTAAAAATAATTTTATTACAAACTTGAATACAATATTTTTCTTTTCTTTTCTAAGTTAGAAAAAAAATTAAAATATTTAATACTTTGGTTTGAATTGACCTTTGAATTTAAATATGTTGATCTTTGAAAATATCTATTGTAATTTAATTTTGAATATTAGATTTCTTATGTAATCAACTCTTATTTTTTTTAATTTGAAAAAATTAATTAATGTGCTATAATTATTTTTATAAAGTTTATAAAAAATTTCTTTCATTTACAGTGAATTTGATTGGATGTGTTATTTTTTCTTATTTTGTTTTATTTTAGATATAGTAGATCATATTTTTACTAATTTAATCTAATTTTTATTGCATGAATATATGTGCATTAGCATACATATTATTAGTATCTTAAATCAAAGATTTAAAAAAAAAGGAAAAAAGAATTAAATGTTTTAAATCAGATTTATAGTATTTTACTACATATATATTATTATTATTTTCTAATTTAAAATTAATATGATCTGTAATGTTTATAATAATTTATTGAAATAGATATCATTCTAATTTAATATAATATCTTTATGTCTATAATTTTAAAAAAATCAACCATTATATGATACTAATATTTCTATTCTTATTAAATATTAAAGTATTTTAATTCAAAAATTACTAAATTATTATCTTAAGATTTTTTTATTTATAAAATATTTAAATTATAAATAAAATTAAAAAATATTACATCTTTATTACAACATGCATAAAAACCCTAATTTTTTAGAACAAATTTCAAAGTCATTTGACTTTGATATCTTCAATTTGAAGAACTTTTAATGGATGTTGAATATTCTAAGATTTTTGAAGTAAAATAATGTATGTTTAAATTATCTTTATGTAAATAAACATGTTTCTTTTATAATTTTTTTTCATTCTTTTTTATATTAGATTTGAATGAATTCAATGTAAGATTAAATATATATAATGCAAGGATTGAATCAATTGTACTTCACAACTTATTTATCATTATATTTATCATTATATTTATCATTATATATATATAGACTTAATATATTAAATCAAGTTGTATGAATTTTTAAATTTTTACAACTTATAATAGATTGATAATTATTTAGAAAAATCTTATATATATATATATAATTTAATTTAATTGTAATTAATTTAACTCTAAGTATTGATGCTTTTTAAAAATTTTATTGTTATATATTAGTATTTAAAATTTAAAATGAATATAAGCAGTTGTTAAAACCACATCCCACCTTGCCATTTTATAATTAAATCCGTCTACCTCAATCTTTGTCCTCTATTTCCAATTCCCAGTCCCCATTTTCTTTTTCTCTTTGCTTCATTTGAATACTAATATATATTAACACCATTCCAAAGTGGTAAGTAGAAGTGTCTTTGAGCTTTTATAGCTTATAATGTAAATTAACTTTATTCCATTAGCATATTGAAAATGTCTAATTGTAAAAATTTTGACCATATTCAAATTTCATGTCAATGTATTAGTCTATCATTTATCCAATACCAACAGAAACTAATTTATATTTGCAATCCAAATATTAAAATAAATAAAATAAAATAAAATTTAGGAATACCAAATAGTTATTAATATATGAAGTCTGAAGTAGGATCCATTCCAAGTTGGGAATGAGAGACATGGAAGAAGGGGATGACAGGGAATGAGAGACATGGAAGAAGGGGATGACAGGGAATGAGAGACATGGAAGAAGGGGATGACAGGGAATGAGAGACATGAGACAGCGAATGAGAGACATGAGACAGGGAATGAGAGACAAGGACAAGGACAAGGAACAAAGGAGGTAAATGGAAATTGGATGCAAGGAATGAAATCTTAATTATTATAGTTCTTATTATTATAATTTTAGTTAGATACAGATTATAAGAAATTTGCAATACAATTGACAATCAAATATTATCTTTGTTGAAAGTGTTTATTAATTATTAGAATTAATATTTTAAATAATTATTTGTAAATGTAGTTGTATTTGCATCCATAAATGCCTTTAAATCATACAATAGTTTTAAATTATTTTTTAATAATGATATAGATTAAAAAATATGTTATCTTGTAAAAGAGTATATACAAATTATATTTAATTTCTCTCATTAATTCACAAAAAAAACATATTTTTGAAGTAGATAATTATTTTTAAAAATAAATATGGTTTATTTATTTATTTATTTATAAACTTTTAATTATAAAGCATTCAAAATAAAATACAATTAGTGCATGAACTTCTTTATTTATTTATTTATATCATATACCACAATTTTTCTAAAAAAAATCCTAAAAAAGATTGAGGAAGCTTGTGTTGAATTTTAAAAGTCTACAGAATTTTTAAAGAAGCTTTTATAATAACAAGGGCTTTTGGAAGACCATAAAAACAACCAAAAAAATTACTAAATTTTTTAAATAAAATAAAAGGTACTAAAAGACTAAAGAATGTCTTTGCAAACCAATATTCTTTAATGAGCATGAGAAAAAAAAAAAAAAAAAAAAAAACTTTACATAAATTAATATTAGTTCTTAATATGAAAAATGTTAACTATTCTTTAATTTATAATATTCCACCTTAAATTGATTATCCAATAATTGGAAGATATGGACAATAAACATCTTCATTATGATGTAATTACATAATATCTATTATTTAACCTCAAATAGACCTTTAAGATGATATATATATATATATATATATATATATATATATATATAATTTTAAAAAATGTACTATGCTTACATTTATTACACAAAAATATTAATATATTGTAATAGTTTAAAAAATAGTTAAAAAAAAGTGCTCAAAAATTATTGTATGTCTATTACTTTTAAAATATTTTTTTCATATTTTATATATACCAATATAAATAACCAGAAATAGAATGAAATCATATTTAAAGCATTTATATCAATCTAAGTTGTATGGTAGAGTGTGGCTTATAGTGGTTAGGAATTGCCTCATATTGATTACATGTCAATGCCAAACATTGCTCAGCGGACTTGATCTCTTGACCCTAACATAAAGAAAAATACAAGTGTGTTGTAAAATACAATGACCTCACCTCCATTGGCACCAACAATAAAATTGGATCAGTTGTTTGATTGACTATCATGGACCACATTGATAAACACACAGCAACAATAACAACAACCACATGAGGATGAGAATCGAAAAATCCACCCAAACAAAGACAAGACATAACTCTGTACAAAGAAGCCTTTAGCAAGCTCCACATGCAATGCAACTAAAGAAAACAGGACACACACACAAAAAAAGAAACGGAATGGGTGTGGCAAATTGGATGGCTCTTACCAATCCCAAACACCCACAGCTGAAGCAACAAGTGGTTGTGCTCAAAGAAGAATGGAAACCATCTTATTAAAACCATATACATAAACGTCATCAACAACGGATATCCTCACTTGTTTCTCTAGTCTCAACACGGCGACTGTATGCACAGATGGAGGAGGGGAAAAGGAAGAAAGACGCCGAGGCTCCGAGTCTTCCATGAAGAATAAGAGTGAAAGAAGAAGAAGAAGAAGAAGAAGAAGAAAAAGAGACAAAGCAAAAGAAAAGATAAGTGCGAGAGTTGCAAAATTGGTGGCTTGGGCGCTGTCGGTGGAGTGGCTCCGCTGGGATGAGGACTTGAATATCGACACACTTGTAGTGCGAGAATGGTTCCAAGTCTTGGATGGTTGCTCAGCATGAGGGACTTGGATTAAATAGCTCAGCCATGGAAGATGAACGCCTGCTCAGTTTGTAACCGCATTCGGTGAGAGCTTTGGCACGAATGCGAGGAGTCAGTGCTGCAGAATCCGGATTGCTGGATGTCTGCGATTGGCATTTTGTGAGTGCTCATGGATGCCTGCGCTTGCGAGACGAGTCGTGTTGGTGGTGATCTCCTAGTGACAAAACTGCTGCAGTACTGGGTCCCGGAGGCCCTGACTGTGCAAAGGGTTGGTTGCCCACGTCTTGTCTAGCCTTGTTGGCACAGATTGCTGGGATGCAGGTGGAGCCATGGATTTGGATGGGTGTGTTTCGTGACTACCGTAGTCCAGGTCCAATACACGCCCCGCGTTATAGTTGTACCCGACCTCGGGCATCATCACGGAACCGCCCCGGGAAATCCGCTCCATTGCCTGTCGCATACCACACATTCCAGGTAATCAGATTGAGCTCCAGCTTGAACACGTCGGAATCCTCACAGTTACATGCTCTTGAACCTAACGAGGGGAGGAAAAATTGCAGCAGGAGTAATGGTTTCGAGTAGCTGGACGAGGGGTTTACAGACCCCAGTACAGAAGAGCTAAGATTAGTGATACAGATGTAAAGCTCTAAAAATTGAGACCAGGGGAAGCAACGGGTTGTTGCTGGGTGCTGCAGGACCTGCAGTTGTTGCTGTAGAAACTTGACGTAATGGATGGCTTCGTCAAGCATGGAAGCGGTGTCCATCTTGGTACCCCCGGGCACGAAATGCTGCAGCACACGAACGCGGTCGCTGATGCGCTCACGACGATGTCTCGCCGCCACGCTCTGAGGGTCCGAAGAGATTCGGACGTTGCGCCGCTTGGGCCGCGTCTGCGCGATTTCTTCCATGCTGGGAACATTTGGGAGCGTCAAGGGCGTCGGGAAAAGAACTGCGGGGACGACATTGCCAGGCGAGGTTGGTAGGAACGTTGCGGAGGTGGAAATCGCAAAGTGAGCCTGCGAGGGCTTGGCCATGGCCACGAAAGGCACATAATCAACTGGGACTTGAAGACCATCGTCTTGGAGCAATACCGGTCCGTGTTGCACCTTTGGCGATTTCCGCGACTGGGATTGGACATCCGCGACTTGCATGCATGATGCTTCGGAGGAATCATCTAAGACACGCTTGTGGGAAGCCGTTCTCGAAGTTGTTTCGAGCTGCAGACCAGTGGAAAACAGCAGTCCATGGGGACTATCAGCTTCCATGTACAGATTCGCGACTTCGTCTACTCTTGGCGCCTGATCCAGAAAGTCTGCGGCTGAAACCGTCCCTGATGGAATCACACTCAAAGCAACAGAACTCGCTTGCTCGGAAATGTCTTCCTCGTTGCACGATGAGTCTACCATGCCTGCGCTTCTGGCACTCAAAAGCCGCGCATTTTGATTCTCCACACACAACCCCATCGTCTCTAGCTTCAAAAATGGACGCAATGTTACATCTTCCTTCCTTGAATCCTCGAACAAAGATCCCGCACCGGTGATGAGTGTTTCATCGGAGTGAAAGGATAACGGCACGCTTACAGAGGACTCAGCATGAACATCGTGATTCTCGCTCCACTTCGTTCTCGCATTCAACCTGCAAACACGGTCGAGAGTTCGGCAAACAATAATCAGCTACGAAAGAAATCCAATTCCTGATCATTATGCACTGCAAAATATTGGCAATCCTAGTGACATAACCCACACGCGATTGCGTTAGTTTTAAATAGACATATTTTCTTGTGTGGTGTTTGTTCTGACGCCCACATGTGCTTCATTAGACCGTGATACTTGAGATGACAGTTGTGCAGAGACAGCCTTGGAAAACTTCGGGTCGAGAGAATTTCTAAGATTCGTGATCAACTCTTCCGTTCAACTATTAATCAGTCCGTTCATGCATGCAGGACTAAAGTTTGAGGAAGATGTTTTTACCAAACTTCCATGTCCGGAAACTCGCTGCAGTCATTAGCTCTCAAACTTTGACTCATTTGCAGTCGGTGCAGTTCTGGGCAGGACTCGGAAAAATGGATAACCTCGGGAAGAAAGAAAAAAGATTTAGCAGCAGATGCACAGACGAGTAACCTTGACAGTGCAACGAACCTCACGCCGAGACACAGGAATGGTTCTATCCTATTTCGCCATAAATGAATTTAATGATCCCTCCTACAAGAACTCTACCAACGGTTGGGAGGGAACACAACGTCGCGACGGAGAGAGAGACAGAACTCATGTGCAGCACTTCCTGGCGCTTCTTCTTCTTCTCAGAGTTGCAACGCCGCAGCCAACTGAAAACAAAGCTAGCAAGAGGAGACATGCGACGCTGAGATAATGACTGGTGACGAACACCACAAAAATTAGAAACGGAATCTAGAGGACCGATCCACTGCCAGGACCCCGATCGAGACTGGTCGCGCTCCAGGCGCCGGATCGTCAAAGTGACTGGAACGTATATTCTCGAGTCAACTGACGTTACTCGTGATCCACGATCTCCAACACCACCCTAAACACTCGCAACACCAGTGGATACTGCATGATTATTATTATTATTATTATAATCCAGGTGATGAGCTGCGGCAAATACGCCGCTATGACCCACCTCCGCCCACTCCTAACCAAGAGGGGACCCACCTGGCGCACTTCGATGCTTTCGTCGCCTAGCATCCGATTGCCCCACCTGTAGGCAGCCACGCACAAGGCCACCTCCTGCGCCGTGGATCTAAATATAGCAATTTCTAGCTTAGACCCCACTGCGAAAACTACGCAAATGATGCAATCTAGATGACCGCAACCTGAGAGCAGGAGAGTGATCTTTGGCGCCAGGGAAGCTGATGGGTCTGATCTGGTAGGAATGTTTCGGCACGCCGTTGCTTGGCATCGGAGAACTGATCGTGTCTGCCGTCGTTTCTTCGAGGCGGCTCTTCTGACACGGAAATGCTTGTCGCTGCGTGTGCATGCGCTAAAGCTGATGTGCAGCCAAAGCCACTGGTGGTCCTCCTCTGATGATTTGCAATCACCTAGTGTCGCCCATTTATATTTCTTTATTATATATATATATATATATATATATATCCATACATACATATATATATATATGTGTGTGTATGTGTGGGGTGCGTCTTGGGGATATCCAATCCTTTCATTTACTTTCCTTCTTGCCTTAGTTTTCATCCCAAGCTGCAAGTAACAGAGATATTATTCCTTCCAAGGAGGGATGAGTATTTATAATAAATATTTATCTAACTCTAGAGTTTGGGCAAGTCTCACAAAAAAAAACCCCAACATGGATATTAGTTTTAGTAATTCAAAAGTAGCGAGTTTTACCAAAGATGTATTATTGTGAAATGGTGTAATGCACATGTGCTAAATTGTAGCAAAAATTAGGAAGTGAACCTTGCACCAACACCTATGTTCAAACTTAAGTCTCCATTTATGTATGTATAAGTGTACTTGCTTCAATGATTGTGGAGTATCAATTATTTGGTTTTCTTTAAAAAAAATAGAATCAAATATATATATATATATATATATATATATATGTATGTATATATATGCATATATATATGTATATATATGCATATATATATGTATATATATGCATATATATAAGTTATTTTATTTTATTTTTTATAATTACTAATTGAATCAATTAAATTCCAAACCTATTTATTATAATTCCATGTTGCCAAGATACTATTCATATACCACTACATGTGAAATAGTCCAATATGTTCCTTGGTTTTATTGGGTGTACCTTTCATTTTTTAATAGGTTTTATTCCATACATTCTTTCCACAATTAATGATATGAAGCTATATCATTTAATAGACTTTGTCTTTTGGCAAGTGTACTCTATTACACATAACATTATTTCTTTTGAATCCATAATATTTACATTTCCATTCTTTAGATTAAAAGCCATAAACAACTTGCCTTCTTAAACCATTAGAAGATACAATGGACAAAGGTGTAATGTTTCCAAAAAGGATGAAAGTACAAGAGATGCACTCCTTACTTCCTGCTTATCTCACCTTTGCTTAATTAATGTATACAATTTTGGCATATTAATAACATTTAAATAAACTACTGTGTAATATCATCCAATAGGGGATTTGATCTTGTATTTATTTTGAAATCAATTATGAGTAGTTAAAGGATTTGAATTCTCCATTGCTATACTTGTTTAGCCAAAATACACTTCCAAAATCTATAAAATAGGTTCTTATATCTTTGATAAACAAATGATGTAATATTGGTCAATTATCCTTTCTATTCAACTATGTCATATATTCACAGTAACAACGTAATGCCATATGAGTCAAAAGAGACTTGCCTCATTTTGATTTTTTTTTGTTCCTAATATTAGTCCACCTTAGCTTGAATGTGCATGATAAAATCCCTCTCCATCTCTTTTTTTACTATATTAGAGATTGTGTATTATTTTTGAATGAGGAAATAGGCTAGTTTTGTGGTGTAGTTCATGAATGGAGTTTTGTTCTTCTATTGAAGGCATTGTAAGTCCTAAAGCAATCTATACACCGTCCCATATCACAAGTAGATGATTAGCTCCTTTGTTTTTCCATTCTTATATCAATTCTATAAGGTACTTTGTTTTGATATCCATAGAAAATAGCTTGACCTATGTTGAGACCTAAATTTATTTTGTTTCTAAATTAATTTAGAAATAAGAAGTTGATTGCCATATTCTAAGGAGAAAAGGGCCTTCTTATTTAGAGAGATTCTTATTCATTCTTTGTCTTCTATGGCCAAGAAGATTGGTTGCCAATGGTTGTGCAAGGCAGCTATTATGGCTTCTCAAGCTCCAATTTTTGTTGGTTTTAGACCAAATTCTAATCAAATCCTAATAAAATTCTAATGAAATCCTAAATTCTAAATCAAACCCTAATCAAATTTTAGAAAAATTCTAAATCTTAACCAAATCTTAATGAAGTCTTAAACTCTAAATTTTAAACCAGACCCTAATCAAATTCTAAATCTTAAATCAAATCCTAGACAAACCTTAGATCCAAAACCAAATCCTAACAAAATCCTAAACCTTTAACCAAACTCTAATCAAATTCTAAACTCTAAACCAAATCCTAGATGAATTGTAGACCCTAAATCAAATCCTAACCAAATCCTAAATCCTAAATCAAATCCTAATCAAATCTTAGATCATAAATCAAATCCTAATCAAAATCTTAATCAAACCTTAGATAAATTCCAAATCCTAATCAAATTTTAAACTCTAAATCCTAAACCAAATCCTAATCAAATGTCAAGGACATGAATCTTGAAGAAAGAGAATCGTCAATACACTCTTTTATCACTAAAGAGAACTAAAAAGTCACTCAAAAGATAAAGTAATATTAACTAGAATAACTATTGCTAAAAATAAAAAGACTAGAAAGTCTTGAAATAAGAGTAAGACTAGAAAGGTATTGAGAAGAGTGAAGAAGGCTTCACTCTTGCCTCCATATATACTATCTAACTAAGAGTTATATGGCAATGTCCTATAGGACCTCCAACATATATTGACTTTGCTAGCCACATGTCTTATCTTGCAAGGTAAGTTTTCTATGTATGTGCCATGTAGTTGGCTTGTTCCACAAGCTATTACATTGAGATAACTTGTTCCACAAGCTACCAATACATGGTTAGCTTTTTGGCTAAGTTTCTAACCTATAAATACATTTAAAGTCAAAACCGCATCTATGAAGCTTCTAGAAAGCTTCTCTAGAAGACTTTATGAAATTATTCTATATTTATCTAATTCTATTTAATTATATAAGTAACTATTGAGGTAAATATATATATCCGTGACATTATCTGCTCTTTTCAACATCTCATGAATGATGTATTTCGTGAATTCTTAGACAATTTTGTCGTCTATTATCTAGACGATATCCTGATCTATTCTAAGAACGTCGAAGAACATGAAATACATGTTCGTCAAGTATTACAAAAACTTAGAGATGCAGGGTTGTATGCCAAGATGGAAAAGTGTGTATTTCACACTACTCAAGTTGACTTTTTAGGATACATCATTTCAAATGATGGTCTCATGATGGATTCTAAGAAAGTCCAAACAATCATGGATTGGAAGATTCCAAGGACAGTAAGAGATGTCCAATGTTTCTTGGGATTTGCCAATTACTATTGGATCTTCATCAAAGATTTTTCACGAGTTGCAGCTCCACTTACGAGCTTCATTAGTAAAGATAAATTCCAATGGAATCAAGAAGCGGAAGCAGCATTTGAAGCCTTGAAGACATCGTTTGTCTTTGCACCAGTCTTATATCGTGTTGACTTTTCCAAGGCATTTTTTATGGAAACAGATGCATCAGATTTTGCCTTGGGTGCAGTTTTATCACAAATGGGAACAGATGACAAACTTCATCCGATAGCTTTTCATTCAAGAAAATTCTCAGCAGCCGAGATCAATTATGAGATCCACGATAAAGAACTTCTTGCGATCGTGGATTCCTTTCAAGAATGGCATCATTATCTAGAAGGCGCTTCTAGTCCAGTCACTATGTATACAGATCACAAGAACCTCGAGTATTTCATGTGAGCACGCGTGTTGAATCGTCGTCAAGCTTGTTGGAGTATGTCTTTGTCAAGATTCGACTTCATTATCACTTATTGGCCAGGAAAACAACAAGGTTTGTCTGATGCCCTATCTAGACGTTCTTATTTTGCACCAAAAGAAGGAGATGCAGCTTTTGAGCAACAAAGAACGGTCCTCTTGAAACCGGAGCAATTTCATCTCCAAGCAATGAAATCAACATTGACTGTTGATTCAACTTTTTTCAACCAAATCCAGTCCATTATGTCCTCAGACCCTCTTGTTTATGATATCGAGAATAATTCTTCTAAGTCATATGATCCTTCTAAGTTCGAGTTCAAGATTAATCTATTATATTTTGAAGGAGGCCTATATGTTCCAGAAGAAGAAACACGTTTACGTGTTCTTCAAGCATGTCATGACTTTCCAGCAGCAGGGCACTTTGGATATAATAAGACTTTGGAACTCATATCAAGAGATTTTTAGTGGCCACAAATGTGGAAGTCAGTCAAAGACTTTGTACAATCATGTGATATTTGTTCAAGATCAAAAATTCCTCGTCATCGACCTTACGGACTTCTTCAGCCATTACCTATACCAGAACAACCATGGTCTTCTGTTTCTATGGATTTCATCACAGATCTTCCAAGCTCAAGATCTTATGATTCTATATTTGTGATAGTAGATCGTTTCACCAAGATGGCACATTTTGTGCCATGTACAAAATCTATCACAGGTGAAGAAATAGCTAAGCTTTTCATTGATAATATCTATCGCTATCATGGATTACCTAAAGATATCATATTAGATAGGGAAACTCAATTTGTGTCAAGATTTTGGAGGA